AGAACCCATCCAGGAATAGCTGGGAGAACCACCACAGGATGGTGTCGGGGAAAGACAAGACAGAGACACACCCCAAGGTGAGCCTGGATCTTGGTGGAGCAGAGCTAGTGGCCAGGGTTGCAGGCTTGGGGGTCACGCTACTACACCTGGCCTCTCTCAGGTACTGGTGCCTGCTTTCCCAAGAGGGGGCGGCTTGGTACCACAGTTGCTGCCATTGCCAGGACTACCTTACACAGTAAAGACTGGCCTAGATGCCTCTCATCTCTTTCACCTTCCATTTTTTCTGTCACCAACCCACTATCTCTAACAAATTGGTTAGATACCTTCAAAAACCTTCAATCTATAGAAAAAAGTGCATCAGGGGACCCCTATTCTGTATTTTAAAGCATCTCAATTCAGGGTCTTGGAATTTTAAAAAAAAGTCAAAAATCCAGGCCAAGCCAGGCATGGTGGCACATGCCTATAATCCCAGCATCCAGGAGGTAGGAAGATTGCCATGAGTTTGAGACTAGCCTGAGCTGCAAAGTGAGTCAAAATCAGCCTGAACTACCCAGCAAAACCCTGTCTCAAAACAACAACAACAAAAACCCCAAAAACAACTCAGGCCACCCCGAGATGACCTTGGCAGGTCATAGTTTCTCAGGTTATATGAAAAAAAGAAACACCGCCCCCCCATTCACGTTGCAATTTGTTTTTAACAGCCATGTTAGCCCCAAACAACATTTGGGGACATAAGGATTACAAAGATACTGATCCTATCCCTAAAGTGAAAGACTCAAATGGGGCATTCATCTAAAATCACACATGGGTAAGGCAGATAAATCCCAACAATGGTTAGGGGTCAGTGAGGAAGTCAAGACTGCCTGCACTTGGATTTCCTGATGCAATGTTCTGGGTAAAGATCTACAACAGGTTGAGCCCTAGACAGGCTTAATTCCTCAGTAGGCAGGAGGAGAGATGTCTAGGTAAAAGCTAACAACCAGGTTGGTTAAAACCTAAACAGGCTTTCTTCCTCATTAGGCAGAAGGGGAGATATTTAGATAAAAGCCTACACAACTGGGTAGATTAAAACCTAACAGGCTTTCTTTTCCATGTCATAATTAAGAGAAACCTTTTTATTCCAATGAGTATAAAAGAGACCCTCACAGTTGGTCTTTCTCTTCCTTTAATTGGCAATAGCCATTCCACCAGATTACCCTTAAAGTACCTTCTTAAACACTAAAGATAACTACATTCCCAGTTTAAAAAAAAAAAAGTGTGGGATAAAGTGGAAAATCACCTCGAGTAGATACCTTAGTGTTCAGCTGACCTGTTTTCAGTTGGTTGCTGTGGAGCCAGTTTCCTTCCCTTATCCTATTGGGGAAGAACCCAACATTGGTGCCCCCATCAGGGCAAGAACACAACCCAGAGAGGCCCCCTCTGTGTTACTCCTTTAAAAGAACACAGGCACAGGGACAAAAAGAAAAAAGGAATGACATGTCCAGACACAGGTTATGTCATAGTTGTGCCTGATTCATCAAAGGCCATGGGCAAAATGAGTGCACTCTGGTTTATAAACAGTTGTCTTATGTGTTTTATCTATCCATCTGTAAATGGTTGCAATGCCTACAGCTATTATATTTAACAATTTTTTTTGCATTGACATTTCCATGGAAAAATAGTTAATGGAATTTTGTAGACATAAAATACTCATGTCTATAATTTAAATTGGCTTTTAGATAAAACAAGTGTCATTTAAGTTAAAGACATGCTTCCATCCAGGTTGTCAGTAAATCGAGACATTGTCAGGACTGGTTTTACAAAGGCAATGCGTATTACGTGTGTACAATAACTTGGGAGTCTTTCATCAATCAAAAGTAACATGTTAATTGTATGACCCAGTTCTCATAGGTCATCCGGAAGACCAAATTTGTTAAAATAGCTAGATGAAGATCCCTTAGCCTTTAGAAATAAGATTAATAAAGCAGCAGCTGCCCAGAAAACAATTATTTCTGCCTTTGTTCACTGAGATCCAGTAATTTCCCTATCCTAGTAAGAGACATATCCCAATAAATATTGATACGTATACTATTGTGTTTATATTAGTTATTACCAAAGGGCTAAATTCTAAGTGTTATTGTAATATTTTTACATTAAGTTTTCTATGGATAGTGTTTTACTAAAAGATGCTCTTAGTACAAAGCTGTATCAAAAGTTTTTCATCTAGCTGTGACACTCAGCTATGAGTTATTGCTGATTCAATTGTATACTAAATGTATTTGTTGAGTGTACAAGTTTTCAAAGATATAAAACTAGAATTCTTTATGGTTGTAAGCTTTTTCCCTAATAGATATCAGCCAATCTTGTGTTCCAGCTACTTGTAAAAAGAGGTACATGTCAAGCCAGCATGCAACCACCAACCAAATGATAATTTTTTTTCAAAACATATGTGATGCTGTGTGTCACTACACTTGAGATGATCAGGTACTGACCAGTCCAGGTGTCACACTAAATATTAAAAGACATTAATAACTTATAAAAATTAGATCTATAGATAGGTTCATTCTTTGATGGCACCCTATAGGTTACATTGAGTAAAAAGTTTCATGTCATTTAATAGCTTGTAATTAGGTAACTGACTAGAGAGCTGTTCTATACTGCTAGACATTCAAACGTGTTCAAAGGTAATGTCATGACCATGATGTTACAAAGCTGTGTGATCACTAATTTCAAGTTTTCTCTGTAAAACCTTATAATTGGTTTGGGGGATAGCTCAGCGGCATAGCACCTGCCTGGCAAGCATGAGTTCATGAGTTCAATCCCCAGTACCGCCCCCCAAAAAAACCCTTTTATAATTGTTACCTGTTAACAAAAGGACTAAAGCCTATATTCCAAGCATATTTAAACAGGAACTTACCTGAGAAGCTGTCAGCCCTTATGACACTCCTGTCATTTAAGGGGCCTGCTAAATAAGAGATTACTTAAAGACCTGTGCCTCATTAATGACACTGATGCCTTACATCTGGTTGTGCCCAGTTGCTGCACTTTGACACTGTATCAGTGGTGGTGGGGCCTTGGGGCATGGCTTCTCCATGGCAGCAGGCTCATGGTGGGCAGAACCTGCCCCCTACAGTGTCTGCCAAAAATCTCTACCCACCACCTCTTACTGACCCCTCTCAGCTTGAAAAATACAGGTTAGTTGTCACCCATTTACCCAACAGGAATTGGACAGAAATGTTAGAGTAGGGAATGTAGGGGAGAGGGCCCAGTAGGTAGCAAAAGATAAAAGCCTCGTTGAACTTTGTTAAGATCAATAAGGAAACTTACCTAAGAGCATTTCTGCCTTCACAGATAGACTCTTTAGTTAAGAATTAGATAAAGGAAAAAGCAAGATTTGGGAAAAGTGCCAGTTAACACAATTATCAGAAAAGTCCACTCCAGTTGGGGTGGATGTAACAGTTGGGGATCAAGAGATAAAGCTGATGTAAGCAGTAGAGTTGAAAGGAAGGAAAAGATGTGTTTTGTTTTTAAAGAAAACTGTGAATGTGATGTGTAGAATAAAGTACAGCACAATGAGAACAACCAGGAAATTAGACGAAAAATGAATTTTTTTTTTTTGTCTTTTTTTCAGTACCAGGGATCGAACTCACAACTGCCTGTTTGCAAGGCAGGCGTTTATGCTGCTGAGCCAAATCCCCAGCCCAGACAGAAAATGATTTAAATTGTGGTCAGGAGGTGGGAAAGCAAAGATTTTTCATTTGGTTTTTACTTATAATTTACTCTTTCACACCAAAGTATGGCAGTGAGATAAAGGTAAGACAGTTGTACTGGTGTACCCTAACTCACCCTTCAAAGATTTTTCTGAATGAAAATGGACAAATTTGGAGTGAAGTACTGACTACCATAAATTTGATTCTCTGCTCATCGAGAATTAACTGCTGTTGCATCTGAGTTGGCTTTAGCCTGCAAAGTTTGTGTTAGCCTGGGTCTGCTCCCCCCACCTCCCAACCCCACCAACATTTGGAGGAAGCAAACCCAATGGCCTCATATATGCTAGACAAATGACAGTTTACACTTGGCCCTTGTGATCTTGAGCTGCCACCCAAGAAACCCATCCTCTTTGCTGGAAAGATCTTGTATAGTCTCAGAAGGATCACATCTGAACCCAGTCTCTGCTATTCTTGCCAAGATGTGTGAGGAAGTGTTGAGGCCTCCAGAGCACCCTGGCTGCCAGATGACCACCACACTCAGTGGATTCTGAGTGATACCACATGGAAGGTAAAGAAATGCTCACCTGAACTCTTAATTTACCAGATCGTGAAATTTAATCAAAAGGTTATATTAAGCCACTAAGTTTTAGGATGGTTACACAGCTTTACCTAACCAGAATTGTCTTTCACAGAATTTTATTGTGTCACATTCTTGCTCAATGAAGGAACCTGTTTTTAGCTCTAACCCAAATAATCTTTTATTTTAATTTAAGATTCTTTGACTTCAGAAAGCATACACTGCAGAGGGAGATTCACAAATGTTAAATGTACCTAGGAAGTGCTTGGAATTATTTAAAATGCTTGTTCCCTACTGTCTTCACCCAGATGTTCACTAAGCCTGGTGTGGAGCTCAATAATGTACATTTTAAGATAGACATCAAGCGATGTTGACACCCATGGTCCCAAAAACATGTAGAAAGGCATTCTAATAAGATGACACTGACAGTGAGGCTGTAAACTAAGAAGCCACGGCTGTGTGAAGGAGAAGGAAAACAAGGTATCTGAGTCTTCTCTGGTGCCAGCCTCAAAGTGTTTCTAAGCTATTTAAGTTCTTAAATTCTATTTCCAATTAAAGTTACAGTTCTCAGAGAACTTGGTTTTTCATTTTGTTTCAGCCTCTTAAATATGGGCAAGTAGAATGGATGTTTTATAGAGCAATGACTAACCTATATCTAATAGATGTCAAGTGCAGTATCCCAGGAAATAGAATATCATAGATGCCAAGAATATCATAGAAGACAAGAACTAAACTCCTTGCAACTTCTTTTTATTTTTTAAATCAAATCATAAACTCCGCCACCAGGACCCATATTCATTATAATTACTATAAAAAGGCATTATGGCCAAGTTCGGATTGCTAACTGCCACAGCTTCCAGCAGTTTCTGTGATTCCTTATCAAATGCATCTTTGCACAACCTGAGAAAACACAAAAAGCATGTCTTTTTCTGCACTCTGTTTATCCATAGCCTTTACTCTGAGGGCTTTTAAAAGAAAAACCTGTCAAAATAGAGTATATTGACATGAAGGGGACACGGGAAAAGGAACTGAAGAATACAGTGAAGTGAATAACAGAAGTTAAGAGAAAAATGGGATAAATAGAAATAGATTAACATTGAGGCATCCTCCAGGAGCCTTCTGTCCAACCAGTAGTAAGTACAATGATCCAAATAGCTAAGACATTGTTTATTATGCTAAGTACTGTTCCAAGTACTTGGGCTGTACTAACTTAGCAAACCTCACAATAATGCCATAAGTATTTTTTATCATTTCACCTATTTTATAGATAAGGAAAGGAAACCTCTACTGGATTCCTAAACATTTAGTAAGAGGCAGGGATAGGATTCAAATTCAGTGAGTCCAACTCCAGAGTGCCCAACTCTGAACTGCACTTCATTTATTTCTTAATATTCCCAAGAGCCAGAGTCAAGTTGGTTCTGAGACCTACCAATAAATGAATGGTCCCCCAAATCCCTCACTACAGGAAAGTTCCTTTAGAAATCACTCAAGACTTACCCTAGAACTTGTAGCTTACATTCTGGACATGTCAAGACTTCACATAAAGTCCTAATTCCTTCTCGGCCCAATGTATTCTGTGTTAGGTTGATTTTTATCAGCTTTTGGTTGCTGACAAGAGCAGAAGAGAGATCCTGACAACACACAGAGGTCAAACTACAGTATTCCAGCCTGTAGGGAAGAGAGATGAAGTTTAAAAAATGACTTCATGACAGCAAAGAAAAGAGATCTATGGGCAGAGGATAATTACAGAAACTAAAAAATGAACACAGGGTAAATTCAAGGACCACAAGTAGTTGTAGTATCATTATTAGGTATTTGTATACTGAACATACCACTTCCTAAATCAGCAGTGATAATTCAGTGACTGAGAAGCCTACTACTACCAAATACTCTATGAAACAGGCTAATGTTTAAAAACAATAAGAGGTCTCTAACATATCATTGATGCAAATAAAAACTTATAACCAAAGAACATCTTATACAAAGATAGTCAAAATTCCACAGCATATTTCAAACACAGATCAGTTGCCTTCACATGGGAAGAATGACTTAAGAGATAAATTAACCAACAAGAAGGTCCTTCAACAAGTCAATGACTATATAAAAACTGAGAAAGTATGTTTAAACTCTAGTTTCTGCACCTGATCTTTCTCCAACTCTAATTTTCACCTTCTATTCACTTAACCATCGAACAATTGGGTATATAGGTTCTGAACATATAAAACTTTTAAAGTTGTGGCCCACAGGAATTCAGGTTAATACAGAAGACATAATTATAACATGATGTATATAACTATGATACAAAGTACACTACAGAAAAAATACTGTTAAAACAAATCTAATGTGAGATTAGGACTATACCAGGAAGCATAACTTTAAATTTATAGTTAGTAATAATTTCAAGTTATAGAATCACAAAGTGAAAGAAGCCCACTATTAAAATGGAGCTTCTAATTTTTTTGAAAATTTTAATACTAAAAGCAGACATTTGGTCAACAGAATTATCACTTTTAATTAACTGATAATATAAAACAGACTAATGCACAGTCTTAAGAGAATATCTAACACTAGACAATGTGTAAAGGTTTATCTAATTCATAGTTTAGTTTAAAAGCACAGGGCTAACATCTGCTCAGTTCTTGTGAGGGTCTTCTGCTACATCACAACATGACTGCTGCATCATGGTGGGGATGTATGCAAGACAGAAATCACAGCCAGAAAGCCAGAGATACTCAGGAGCTAGACTTGCACTTTTATACCCACGGCTGAGGGAGTTAGTCCTTCAGTTACTATGCTGATTTACTTTGGAGGATGATGCCCTCAGCGACCTAATTACCCCTCCCCTCACTGGGTCTCACTTCTTAAAGGTCATTATTTCAACACTGCCACACAGGGGATCATGCTCCCAATCACATGAACCCTTGAGGGACACAGTATTCAAACCCTAGTATATAGCAACTTACAACTCATTTTTTTCAAGCATGTTATGGGACACATTCAAAATCTGATTATATGTGGTCTATGAAGCAAATGTCAAAGCTCAAAAAATTCACATGCACACTACCTTAGCTCAATGGTAGAAATTACATATAAAAAACCCCTTCTATCTTTAAAATTTGAGATTTTAAAGTATCCAAATGTGCAAGGAAATATAATAAAGTACATTTGAAATATTTTATATTAAGGAGAGAATATCATGCATCTAACTAAAATTTAGAATAGTAAAATAAAAATACAATAAATTGGCTAGGTGTGGTGGCACACTCCTATAAAATCCCAGCACTGGGGAGGATAAGGCAGGAGGATCATTGTGAGTTCAAGACCAACCTGACTACAAAGTGAGCTCAAGGCAAGCCTGAACTGCATATGAGACCCAGTCTCAAAAAGCCCCCTCCAAATACAATACATTATTTTGAAGATATACGAACAATAGAGAAAGTCAATGTATTTCTTTGGAAAAAATGAAATACAGTGTGAAAAGACTCAAGTTACATGTATGATATCAGGATTGAGAAAAGACATAATTTTAAGATTAAGCAGATATTGGGCCAGGGATTTAGCTAACTGGCATAAGCGCCTGCCTGGCAAATGCAAGTTCAATTCCCAGTATCAAAAAAAAAAATTAAGCAGATATTAGAAACTTTCCAATAAAAGTGAAGTAGATAATATTTCAGAAATTTTAAACAATTTTTAAATTTGAGTCAGACCAAAACAAAAGAAACTAAATATTTTAATTAGAAACTTTAACAAAATTCAAGGAATTGCAGTCTTACCAAATTACTCCTAGGAAATTAAAAAAGGACCATTCCTGAACTCATTGTATTGAGTTACTGTAATTTAGATACAAAAATGTAATGAGACCTATGGAAATTATAACCTAATCTGTTATGAAGATTCTTACTTGTATATTAACTGATACAAAATGTTTTAGCCCCAGAATAAAAGATTAATAAATCAGTGTGGCACACCAAATAACAAAATTTAATAGCATTAAAATGTAGCAAGGAGTTAAAGTTCAAATATAGGGTCATTCAAGCAAAATTTTCTAAGCTTTATTGCTATTCCTAAGTAGGCACAGCAAAATGAAATGTACCAAAATGACGTATCAAGAGACTCACTGATACTCCTAACATTTCTAATCAAAATACTAATGTGTTGATTGCGGCAGGTGCATGTACACTTGTGTATAATGTGAGAATTTTATATATAAATGTTTGGAAATGGTATGAGACAAGAGCCAAAATTGTCTTGACAATGGGAAGTCTTGTCCTAGTTTTAAAAAATTATATAGCTATATTAAGACTGGTTTAGTGGTACTTGGGAATTATAAAAAGGCCAATGGGAAATAGAGAAGCCAGAAACAATACACTAGTGAAAATATGACCTGTAACAACAACAACAAAGGCATCCCTGCCAAGCAGTAAGGAAAGAAAAACTTCAATAAACTTTGCTGGGAAAAAAATGTGTATCTGTATAGGACAAATATTAGACTTCAACTCAATCATATTTTTAAAGAAATTAAAAATTCGGCTTGATAACTTGACTTTGCTATTTAGGAAATAAGAAATAGAATGTGAAATATAATGTGTGGGAGATTATAAGTCTCTGCAAATACTGTAAAGAGGCTTTTGTGTCTTCCCCAATCCTGCTGAACTGAAAATCTGGGTACAGTTAAAAGAATTGATGGTCACTGGGATGGGATTTTGAGCAAACAGCAGCAACAGTGATTGGGAAAGAACACCTCACCATATTTTTTGTACCATATGTGTGGTACAAAAAATAGAATTAATGCTCTCATTCTCCCCCAAAATCCAACACTACACCCTGGTAAAATAATTTTGTCCTTTATATGAATCAAGCAGCAGCTGTATCTGCTACCTGACCCAGTGCTGGGTTTGTTGTGGCCACCTAAGTTCTATAGAAAATTCTCATGTGGACAGAATAGGTCCCAAAATACTTCTGTGCCTGATGCCATCAGTGACAGGGTCATGAATGACAACCCCATTGTGGATGATTTGTGCACACCTGTGACCACCAGCACAATTTCATTTTGCTGATACAAATTATAAGCTTGTCCTGATGAGGAGCCTTTAGTTATACTGTGCAAGGCAAATGAGGCAGCTACAACTATCAGTTTGACTGTGGAGTAGCTAAACTAACGTAATGGGGACACAGATCAAATATAAACATCACATCCCAAATTAAAGTGTCCTGTGTTCTTCTAGCTTATATATATTTTAGGAGGTAACAGTAAACCACTGAATGTCTTTCTCCTGGGAATTTGGGTTGCTCTTGGCCTATGTTTTGTCCTTTGTTTAGTGACCCTGACAAGGATCAGCAGGTTGTGCTCAATTCCTCTGATCATAATAGACCTATTAATCCTCTTTAGGACTTAGTTGGCAGAGTTCAAGACTGTAAGGTCATGGCTGAAATCAATACAAGTAGGTCTCCTGTGCTTGCAGTATTACCGATGATGGCCATAATTAAATTTCATAAGAGATTAATTGAATAGATCTGATCCCAGTCTCTTGGTCATATTAGAGTGACCAAATTACCAGAATCCAAGACTCTACTGTGTAAAGACACAGGGTGGATACTGTTGGGATCATACTTCCATTGGCCTTTCACTCTCTATGTTTGCAAACAGAATAGGAAGGCTCTGACAAAAATCTTAGACCATTTCCCAGGGCCACATATGTAAGGAGCAGCCTTGAAGCACAAGGTATTTCACCAAGAAAAAGGAGGTATACTCATCACTTGTTATACCATAGGACATTCAGACATTCAAGTGGGCTCTCCACAACAGCGCTGTGAGAGTTGGGGGACAAAGAAAATGATATAAAAATGGTGTTTTCATGGTCTACGTTACTAGTAATGAAGTTCTTTGTATCTTAAGTAATCTTGTGTTTCCTGCCAGTACCCATGAAACAGTAACAGGCTAATTATATTAGGCTGCTGTATAGTTTATAAGACAAAATTAAATCTCAGATCCAACAGTTAAGTCCACGTTTTTGTTTTTTGGGGGTTTTTTGGTACCAGGGATCAAACTCATGACCCAGATCTTGCCAGGCAGGCACTTGTGCCACTGAGCCAAATCCCCAGCCCCAAACCCAACAGTTAAAATATTATTATAATAAAAACTATATAAACAGCCAATGGGAGCACAGTAATGGCAGCACTCTAAGTCAGATGAATTTTCTAGCCTTAAATTTCTAAAGGTTGAAATCTGTCTGGGCTTTCCACATATGCAGCACATTCGTGTTGTATAGATACCAGCCAGTATCAGATCAAAAGTAAAAATTTAAATACAGGATTGAACCTAAGTAGTGCCCAGAACTTAGGCTGAAAATTTATTAAACTGCAAGATCCTTGGCAACTGTAGTATTTTACAGATACAAGGTGATTAGTAAAATCTTTAATAAAAAATATTCAGGGACAAATGGGATATCTGAAGAATATGGAGAACACAAATCAGGTGCCATTTATTTGCGTGTATGTGTGACCATGGGTCTGTCCATGGTACTAAAAGAGATGCAAATGCATGTGAAATGTGGTTCCTATTCCAAAGAACGTTGACCCATATATACTTGAAATTCAGATTTCTTACAGTAATTTGCCTTCTAGCCTAGCCTCCCTTTTTCATTTGCTTTCCATATATGAAACAACTAGCCACTGAACAAGTATTTTTCTAATTTAAAACAACTCACCCAAGCCTCTGAATGTTACAGTTTGGATCTCTCAAAGCTTCACACAGTATTTTAACTCCTTCATCCTGCAAGTCATTGTATCCAAGGTCTAGGCTCAAGAGGTTTGGGCTGTTCAAAATGGCAGAAACCAGATCTGGACAACATTCAGTAGAGAGAACACAGCCCATCAATCTGCAAGAAATAAAAGAGAAGTGAGCCTGACAGTTGTGAGACCTACAAATCAGTTTCTCCCTAGGAGGGCTGCCCAGGGATTTGAATCTCTTCTTTTGAGGCCATGATATTAACTAAGAAAAACATAATTTTGTCTGTGTGTTTATAGCAATGCTAAAAAATAAAATGGGCTGAGGGAAGATCTTGAGTGTACAGGTCACTTAAACTTGTATTTCTATAGATGAGAATAAAGGCATTTGATTTCATAGTATCCAATAAAACTTTGTCTTCCATTTGAATAATGATCAAGGAAATTTCAGAGAATCACATAACAGTTTTACACACACACACACACACACACACACACACTTCCCCCATAAGGAACTACAAGTGTTTATTGGAATGAAGAATTCAATGTTAGTGTTTACAGATGTCATAATAAACTATTAAAAACTTATTTACAAGTTTAATTGTAATGGGTCAGTTCAGTCAAGACAAACTTCTGGGTATTCCAAGGAGATTGAGTTTATAGTTTAAAACCCTTAATGGCTTACTCATGATACTAGTCCCATAAGAGACCATAGTGCAAAAGTAGAACTGCTACCTCTGACTTGCTTCTGTAGCCACAATATTTACAGTGAAATATGAAATATAGTTATTAAAATAAAACTTAAGTATTTAAGTGTTTTTATGAAATACTATCAAGTGAGAGGAAACCAAAAGTTATATCTACACAATAATCACAATAGATATATGGGCTAGGGGCCGGGGATGTAGCTCAGCAGCATAAGCACCTGCCTGGCAAGCGTGAGGTCATGAGTTCAATCCCCGGTACAAAAAAAAAGATATATGGGCTATGTATATGTATATTCAGACTAAAAGTAAAATACTGAAAAAATGGTTGTAACCACCTCTATACTCTACACAAGGAAAGTAAACATTATGTACTGCAAGTGCACTAAGAAAAGTAAAATTTCAAAAAGTGATTGCATATAAACATGGTGATAGGTTATACTTTTAAAACCCCAGTTTTTGAAAGTTCATCTAATTATACAGGCAAGTTTAAATATAAGCCTGAATGAAAAACTTGTATAGCACAATTTCAGCTGCAAAGACACAAAATAGAGAACACCAGCCAATTTGCTAGGGCACAGCCACAGAAAAACTAACATGGCTCCTCCTATTCATTCTGATGCCTCTGGATCCTTATCTGAGGGAAACTGGTTTTAACTGCTGTAGTGATTCTATTAAAAATAAAATCTGATGAACAGATTTCCCCAGCTTCCCCAGTCAGAAAGAGTTAGCTCTGTGTTCTTTTCTTCTGTTCCATTCTCAGCCTTTCTGGCCATATCTCCCCTGCTTTCACAGTTTGTAGTTGAAACAACCCAAAAGTAGAATCAGAAAACCTACTCCAACTCCTGAAGATTGCAAGTTGGCTTCTGAAGGACATTACATACAAAATTTAGTCCATCATCATGCAGACTGTTTGATCCCAGATCCAGATGTATCAGGCTCTCGTTGCACAGAAGAGAAGTTGAGAGGTATTCAATGCTAATTGTAGTGAAATGGCAACGCCTCAGCCTACAGGAAGGACAACGATTTTTGTTTACTGACCAGAGATGTCTACCTTTGAAAAAGTTTCTATTATGATCCCTTACTTCTTTGCCAACATGCTACCCAAGATCAGACACTCTAGTGGCCAGCCTGTCTCACAGGACACACTTAGACCTGCATTAATTTGGTTACAATTTAGATGCGTGTTCTTAAGAGATTTTCTTACTATAAGTCAAACATTAACCTTTTTACCCAGTTCATATATAATACTGTGTTGCAGAAAAAGCTAAATGGAATACAGCAGCCGGAAGATGGAAGTAGGAAAAATAAGTATTTTTCATATAATAAAAGTGACACTTTCAGTCAATAAGGTAGACACATTAGGTCATTGATGACTGTTATAAAACAGCATATATGGAGGAATAAATATAAGTCTTATGAATAAAATTTGGAATATGCAAATTTTAGAAATTTAAACTATAAAGAGTATGAACAGATAATAAATTTTTAAAACATATTTCCAATTATGGAATGCCTTTAGAAGTCATAAGAATCTGACCACACAAAAAATTTAAACTTTTATATTTTGAAAATGACTAAAGAGGGCTGGAGATTTAGCTTAGTGGCATAAGTGCTTGCCTGGAAGGTAGCAAGGTCATGAGTTCAATCCCCAGTACTCAAAAAAAAAAAAGAAAAAAAATTCTTAAGAAAGTTAGAAATAAAGTAACATTTTTGGGAAATTTGTAATATGTAAAAAATAAAGTGTAATATTAATACTCACAATATGTACCATATATAACAAAATGCTAAGAAACTGCCTATGAAGAAGCAATTCCTAAAAATAAAAGACCAAAAAAATTTGAAAAGATGTTCAAATTACTTTGAAAGTTAATTTTCAACTAATACTGATCAGAAAGACTACAGAAAGGCAATGAGGTACTAAAATACAGGCCTTTAGACTACTGTTGGGGATATAAATAACCTATTTCGAAGGCAGTTTAAATACCCCTGACAAAAAACCTTTGGCATATCAATTCAATTTTGGAAAAGTACCTATCAAAAGTGAAATAACCTTACATTGGGTGCTATTACTTCTGTTTAATGGTATTTGTATTTATTTACTTGCATTAAACCCAGACTACGGAGTTGAACAGGTAGACTTCAGGTCTAAATTCATTTTCCTGTGAAATATCAGGCAAGTTACATTACCTTTCTAAGCCTCACTTTCCTAACCTGCACTATGAGGCCTTTAGAATTCAAGTGTGAATTTAACACCATCAGGTGCTGTGGTACAAATTAAATAACTTTAGTATAAGGTATATAGTATAAAGACAATAAATGATAGTTTATTAGTATCACCATTATCTTTAAGGATGACAGAAGAGGCAGAGTTTATTCCTATATATTTTCACTTGTCTTACCTTGGCATTACAGAATACCTTAGACTTGGTATTTACAGTGAAAGTAACCTTCTTGTAACCAAGAGTCTGGGAGATTTAAAATGAGGGCTGTGTCTGTGATGACCCTTTAGCTACATTATCCTATGCCAAGAAGCGAAAGGGCAAAAAGAGCATGAGAGCAAGAAAAGGGGGGTTGAACTCACCTTTTCTGAGGAATCACTGCTGCAATAACCCACTCCTGAAATAATGGCGTTAATTCATTGCCCTTAGGGATTAATTACCTCTTAAAAGATCCCATCTCTCAACACTGAACTACACCGGGGATTAAATTACCAACACATGAACCTTAGGGGTAGTGGCAATATTTTAAACATCTTTCAAATGGTATATTATTGAAAGGATGAGAATCAATACACACTTACACGAGACTCTGTAAAGTACACTCTGAATATGCCAAGGCAGTGCTTAAAAACTTTACTCCACTATCTCCCACTGAATTGTCTGCCAAGCATAAATGGGTCAGTCTCTTATTTCTGAGCAGAACCAAAGAAAGATCTTCACAACTAACTTCTGTGAAGCCACAGTTTTGTAATCTGAAGGAGAAACACATGGGAAAAGATTCATTAATTCTCAAGGGTTATTCCTTGCCCCAGAAGGAAATGAGCTGGTATGTACAACTGCTATATCTCTAGGATAGAACCTCCACACACCTACTTAAATTGTGAATTTCACTGCAGCTGTGCTCTTGAGATAGGAAATAAATCACAGAAATGGTAAGGTGGTTAGAAAAGAATGACAATAAGTAGGAAAGAATTGCCCAAAAGTTAAGTGATAAGAGGATGTGCTTAGTATGTGCAAGGTCCTGAATTTCATTCCCAATACAAAAAAAAAAAGGCATGGAGTAAGGAAGAAGTGTAGAGTGTATGAAAAATTCATGCAGGATTACAATTCACTTGGTGTAAAGACCCAAGCATTTTCTGCATTCAAATCACAATTTTAGCTATATAAAAAACTGACTCACACTAGTCTCTGTAGGTAACACTCTGGATGTCCTAAGGCCTCACACAACATCATCATTCCATCATCCAGTAGATTATTGCTTGATAAGTTCAAAAATACCAGGCTTTGGCTTTTGACAAGAGCCTTAGCTATATCTGCACAACAAGTTGCAGTTAGGCTGCATGATTCCAACCTAGAAAATATAGAAAAATAGGAATAACCATATCCCAGAGAATTACAACCACAAGGACCAGTCAGAGTATACAAAGCCCCCAGTTTGGGGAAACTTGTCTGAATATTCAGCTTCCCTACATAGAACAAGTTATTTAAAGTGACAAGCTCTTATAAAAGAGCTAAGAAGGAGACAGGAGCAAACTTGTTTTTGCTCATCCCCAACCTCCCCAATTTCTTGATGGAAAAAATACATAAACAATTCAAAATACCTTGATTGGAGGGACCAACTGTTCCCCTTGCACACTGACTTGTGGAACAACAGAAGTGGACAGAAAGTCAGGGCAAAGGCCTTGTCTCCCAGGAGGTTTGTTACTTAGGAAACCAAGCTATGTTTCTAACGAACCCAGTTCTTACGAGTAAAAACAAGTAAATCAGAAATAAAATTCCTTCCAAAAATAAAGATGAAAAGCAAAGTAGAAAACATACATGTAGAGACCTTCTAAATACTTACAGAGGTTCCTATTCAGGGAGGATTTGTACTTTGTACATGGCTGCAATGATACTAGCTATCAGTAAGGAGAGTCAGCAGCAGTATTTCTTTCCTGGCAGCTGGATTTGCTCCAGGTATTTTCTTCAATTTAGGATTATCAATTTGAGTCACATAGGAATTATATGCAAAGGTAGGAACACAAGAAGTTCCATGATCCAAGTACAGATATGGTTATAAAAAGAAGAAATCCAAGGAGTGGGCATGTACCAAAAAAAAGGGTCAGATGAAAAAACAAGGAGAAAGCAAAAGGAGAGGCCTCACCAGAAACCAACTCTGCCTTGTTATCTTGCTCTTGAACTTTAATATTTTGCTAAGGCAGCCTGAGCAAACTAAATCATACAGGTACCGTATCAGTAGCCACACAAGTAGTTGAGGAAACAAGGAAAATCTTGTCATTGTGTTTGGGTAGAGCTCTTCTAGACAGAAAAAGATCCTAATGTAGAACCTGTGGATTAAAAAGTTTTACAGAAGAACATTATACTAAAGTGGGAAACAGAAGAAACTATTAGGAAGATTTGCTTTATATTTTAAATGTACACAAAGATACCAACTATGAAAAAAATTATCATTAAAAGAAACAGAAGGAAGCAAGTTTGAGGTTAGAGCAGCAAAAGGAAATTGAGATTTGAAGCAAGAGAAGCAAAATCAAATTCATGAAAATAAATGAGAATTTAAAAATAAAATTTAAAAAATGAGAACCTTCCAAAAAAGTAAAAGATTAAAATAAAATTAAAAGCTATGTAGGAAGAAAGTTATAACCAATGATTATTGGAAGCTTTTGAAAAATCACAAGAAATAGAATAAAAATTTTGATAATTTAAATCATTTCAGCAGAAAATTTTAAAAAATAGTTGCTCATAGGTCAAAAGGTAATTTCATGCAAAAGTAATGAAAAATATGATTAACATCATCAAGGACAAAGTACTCAAACTGAAGAGTTAGAGAAGGAACCCGAGGATTGAAGAGACAGGCTATTATTAGGACCTGAAATGCTAGAAAGTAACATAGCCAAGTAAAAATTCTGAGAACAAAGTGTAGCCCAAATTCAAACAAATTATCATACATCTATGAAAGCAAGAACATAAAATGTCAAACTATACCATCCGATAGTTCATAAAAGTCTTTAAAATCAGACCAGATGAGAATGCAGTGAGGGCTGGGGATTAGCTAGCTGCATAAGTGCCTGCTTGGCAAGCACTAGGTTGTGAGTGTGATCTCCGGTACCAATAAATAAATACATAATAAAGCAATGAATCAAAATTAACACATACAACACAAAAACCAAACTTAAGAACTTGGCAGTAAACAATGACAAAAATTAAGTTTGTAAAATTTAGTCTAAATAATGAATTCATGTTGCCATAATAAACCATCAGAAAAGATTTAAGTGTCCAAAAGTGTAGTTTTTGTAGTCTCAGGCTAAATTAAATAGTAGAGATTGTGTGTATAAAAAGGGGTATTGTTAACCATCAATGTCCTTGAGTTTAATAATTCAAAAGTATATTTTGGAGGAACTAAATAATTAGTAATCACCGATGATAAAACTATTACTTATAAATCTCTGGACATACCTTAACAAATGAAAAGTATCATTTATAAAAGAAAAGTACAAATAGTATTGAAAACACTTAACATGCCTTTTAGGGCATAAGTATTAACTGCTTGACAATCTATTTGTTCATAACCTATTTTGCTCTTATCCTTTCCATATGATAAGTGGGTTTCTCAGGATTTTTCTTTTTCAATAGAATTACAGCTATGGGACATTCAACTCCTAATGAACAAAAATCTCAGCTTCATAAACATATTCTTTTGCAAATGCAAAATATATAATATTATACAAGCCAGAAAATATTTTATAAGACTTGTCTTACTGTAACAAAAAAATTATACCTGGATTTTAGAAATTGTTGCTGTGCCTTAATACAAACTACCCTATAAATTTTATTGATTGTAATTTAATAATGTGGCACTTGTAACATCCAAACTAGTATTTATAAATCCCTGAACTTCACACAGATTTTTATCAAGTCAGGAAAAAAGGCCATCGTTACCTTCATCTTTTATGCATAATTTTAAAAATGTGTTTAAGGTTTGAATATAGTTTGTGACTTCCAAAACTCATATGAGAGTTTAATTGCCATTATGAGGTATTAAGAACAAGGAGACAGGGGCTGGGGATTTAGCTCAGCAGCATAAACACCTGCCTTGCAAGCAGGCAGTCGTGAGTTCGATCCCCGGTACCGATTAAAAAAAAAAAAAAAAAAAAAAAAAAGAACAAGGAGACAATCCTTGTGTTACTTTTAATTCATATGCTTAGAGGTAGGCCTTTAGGAAGGGACCAGGTCACATGAGATCATCAGGAGGATAACTACTACTTTTAAATTTGAAGTTGCAGGCAGGCTGAATATCTGCTGGTATGGCTTTTGGTTACTAATTTATTTTTAAGATATAAAAACCAGTGACTTATTTCTCACCTGAGTCTCAGACCTGAGGTGAAGGTTACAGAAAATTCCTCAAAATATTCGAAAACTAATTCACCAAACTGAAAAAACTATCTACCCCAACCTGGCCCACTGACAAGTACACCCAATCCACATTCAACAATTATCCAAAAACTGCAAACATGTAAGTGGATTTCATCTTGTAAATACTGGCAAGACTTTAGAAATTATATAACCCAATACCACCAAACTCATCTGCCTACTTTCAGAAAGATCTTGTTTCAAATTTCACTTACTATATTTCTTTTACCCTGGATCTGTATTTCCCACAAATAAGACTATCCTGACCCTTGATGCATCAGAGTTCAGTCTTGTCCTCCTGAACTGAGTTCAGGGACTTAAACTTTTAAAGCCTATTCTAACTTTTTGTTTTGTAGAAAATGATTAATTGATTCTCCCTGGGAAATAAGGTCTTTGTTTAAAATCTATGACAATCTGAGGATAAAGTATGATTTGTCTCATTTGGAGAAAGAAAAATCAACTAGAGGTCAACCACTCAGAAGAATTAATAGGCAAGCCCCCTGACATTGATAGTTGCTACACTGTTCTTTGTAAACCTTCTGGGTTCTTTTTTTTTTTTTTTTTTTTTTAAAGAGTTGCAGTTATAACTTGAGGATTCACTATTAAAAAAAAAAAAAATCAAGTAAAATTGAGCCTGCCCCAGCTTTGTCCCATTATCAATGAGAAGGAAGCATCTTTTTTCAGTGTTCAGCTAAAATGAATATATCCCAGCATTGAAATGAGAAATGCTAAATGTTTATAAATTCTTACTCTTTGTTTTTCCACATTTAGAAAATGGAGACACAGAATTATACAGAGATGTCTTCAGTGGAGAACTGTGGGAGCAAGAAGACCTAACAAGGGTAAATCAGCCTGATTTTACCGATTCCTGTGATTCCCAATAATAAAGGTAGATTTTAAATAACTATAAGAACACCAAGTCCAGGCTGCATCATTCAATTGAACAAAAATCTCAATTATAATAAAAGACTCACGACTCACCCCAGATGTTGTAGTTTACATTCTGGGTGTTTCAAAGCTTCACACAATGATTTCACTCCATTATCCGTTATGTAACTTCCTTTCAGGTCAAGATGCATCAGAGTCTGCTTGTAAGTCAAAAAACTAAAGATATCTTGGTAATCATCAGGGAAAGCAACGAACTTCAACCTTAAGAACAATTTACAGAGAGATTAAAAATCACCCCTTTCCCTTGCTACAAGCATCCCTTTCTTTTTACACCTAAGTCTGAAATATTCTATGAATATTCTCTCACTTTCATCTTTCATCAGAATTTTCATATCCCAGATCAGGTAATAAATCTTAATTTCATGTTATTGCATAGAGAAATAACCTGATTACTACTAATTTCCATTTATGTATTCAGACACCCTTAACTTTTGCTTTAAAGGAAAACAAAATGATATCAGGAAAATAAGAAAGGAACCCCTGAACTCAGTTTTAGGAGTAAGTACCAAAATTATCAGGACCATTCCAAATACTATAATTACATTAACTTACAATAGTCACAGTTTTTAAGTAGTTCAAGATAAGCTGATATTGACTATTTTATATGCATCATTAGCAAAAAAACATTGCAAAATATGTTCTGTTATTTTTATGAACAAATGTTAGGTTTACAGAAGCCATCCAAAAGCAAAATACAAAGTTAAATTTTCCAGTATTTCTACCCACTTACAGCTCTTAACACTGTCAACATTAGATACATGATTTTTCTATAGTGCCTCTGCTGGCTCCAAATGTAGTCTACTCACGTGGCCAACCATTCAGAACCTCTCTACAGTACCACCTCTCCTTTCTGCCCACTACTCTCAGTCTTCCTCTATTTCCTCTACCCTCAGTGAAGCACTCATGAGAATATAAAAGCTTTTATGTCCATTACTAACCATCTTCATGCCATAAAGTGCCTAAGGTAAAAATAAACTGAAAGCTCTGTCTTGTTAGGAAAAGGGAACCTGATTAAGACCAGATGACTGAGAATGGTCAGCATGGTGTCGGGCTGAAAAAGCACATTGTAAAGAGGAAGCCATTTAACTCAAAGGAAGGCATCAAGTTAAGATTTGGACTGGTGACAATCGATAATGTGGGGGAGATGTTTAGAGATGAGTGAAAATAACTTCCAGGATTCCCTTAATTCCAACATACCCAGTTGCCTTACCCTATCTGTCAAGACTAGACCTACTTAAATTGTTTAACATAAGAACTCACCAAAAATACTGAGATTCTAAGGAAACCAACGATGAAATAATAGCCTATCATTTATTTAGTATTTAGTACATAGTACTAAGTACTGTATGGACTTTGAGCATATAAGTACAGAGGAAAGTAAAATCAAGTCCATCCCCTAGCAAGCCCAACAGGAAGAGAGACAGAGACATGCAAACAAGGATACATTAAAAAGTGATAACCTTTAATCAAACTAAGAAAATTTGAGAAGACCGAAAACAGCAAATGTAAGCATGATGAGCACTTGGAACCTTCAAATACTGCTACTGGGACTATAAAATGATGCAGCCACCTTGAACTGTTTGGTTATATCGTCAATAAAACACATCTATGAACTAGCAATTGTATCATCAGGTATATTAGCACAAAAGATGAACACATGTATCACAAAGAAACACTAAATCTTTTTACCAAGATGGAGCTGAAAATGAAGGAGGTCTCTGCCTCTTCCAAAGCTGAAGCTAATGCAAAGGCCTTAAATAAAATTGTGGCACTCTAAACTAGAGTTCAGCTGGCTAACTTAAAAATATACACTAGAAAAGGACTAAGGAATATTCAAAGCAACCTTATTCATAATACCTAAAAATTTAAAAATCTGATGTTTATTAATGAGAACAAGTTTTAGTAAATTCATACTATGAATAATGAAAATCCATAAATTTTAAAAAATATTTTGAGCAAAGATATATATACACATATATACACATATGGTATTAATATAAGTGACTTCCAAGAAACTATTCTGTGGTGACAGATTAGAAAATGATTACCCCTGGGGTTAGGTAGCATCACAGGACTGAACAGAAAGGAGCACAATGACATTTTAAGATGAAAATATTTTCTATTTTGTTTTGGATGCCAATTTAATAGGTGTTATTAAATGCACATTTAATATCTATACATTTTGTTGAATGTTATTTCTAAGAAAAATAGTAATGTGTCTGAAGGTGCTTTGTTGACCTGCCTAGAATAGGCAGGTCTGTACTCTTCTTCCTCTAGAAAATTCTTAATCCTTAAAATCCCATGTCAACACTAATTCACCCTGGAATGTTTTCCAGAATGAGTTAGCTGTGTTTCATATCCTCAGATATTTTCACTATTCATGTTCATAGAGTATTTTACATGATGGATTTTAAGTACAGTCATCATGCAACATTTAATTTAATTTGAGCAATGTATCATAAGTGACTTGTCATTGTTCTAACAGACTTTATTTACACAAACTACAACTACCAGGTCACTATGTGGTATAAACTTACAGCATAACTGTTTTTTATGAAAACGTTATGTATTGTATCAACTATAAAGGTTTACTGTTGGTTTCTCCCTGACCAGTACTAGTGGAAGGTGGAAGAAAGCAGTCAGAATAAATATCAAGTTTTCTCATGTTAGACTTACAGGAGTTTTTGTAGTTTACAGTTTGGATGTCTTAGTTCTTGACAAAAAGTCTTCATTATTAATCCATCAAGGTTGCTATTGCATAAGTCCAATTCTGTCAAGCGTTCATTTGAATTAAGCACAGAGAAGAGATTTTGTAACCAATGAGTAATCTGATCATCCATTTGCCTATGTAATCAGAAGAGAAAAACATTTATACGCTCAGCCAAATCTCAAAAGGTGGTACTGGGGTAAAAGTAAATGGTCTGTGGAAATGACAAGAACACTTGGTGCAGCTTTGCCATGGGCACAGTCCACCAGGACATTTTTTATGGGTATTCCAGAGACTTTCTTGCTCAATACCTCCCCTATCTGGTTCCTTGACACATAAAATTATAACTAGAGACACTTCACTTGAAAGGGAGAAACTCAGAAAAAGATTTTTAAATACTCAAGCAACCAATTAAGATAAACACTATGTGAACACAAAGTGTAAGAATAGGATCAGTAGACAAAGTGCAACGTGGTACTAAAAACCTCAAGTTTTGAATCACTGCTCTACCACTTAAGCAAATCATATCAATTCTATAAATTCCAAGTTCTCTTCATCTGTAAAATGGAAATATTTTTCATAGGGATATGATGATTTAATAGTCAAGTAGTTCAGTGGAGACAAAACACTGAACTTTAAATGCTATATGATTTGGGTATATTACTAATAGGCTCATTATAAACAAAGAGGGGATTAAGGAATAAAATAGGACAGCCTAGTAATAAAAATAAGGTCTAGAACAGAGCCTTCCTGAGTCACACCACAAATCTATTCACTAAACTGACCATTTACTGGTCATTGTGTGTTCAAGCTTCTTCACCTTGGAAAATAAAAATGTTTCTTACTCCAATCTGGCCTGTCGATGCTGCATTTAACAGGGCTGTCCTTAGAAAATTGTTGCTAAGTGGCTCACGATGTAAGTACCCCTAACAATTGGTAGCTTTGATATTAAAACATTAAAAGTCTAATATTCTGTCTTTTACATAGTACTCAATCGCTATGGATTCTCAGGGTTTAAATGGAACAAACACTTTAGAGTTGTTTCTGTACCTTTAGAGGTCTTAAATTTATAAGATCAAGACAATAAGTTATATGTGACATTCAAGTTTTGCCTGTATAAAAATGCTATACACATCTATAAATACTATGGACAAATAGTGAACAAGACAGATAAAAAGTTTACAATGCATACTAATTTGCAGAAAAGAGGTCACCTACAATGCCTTTTAACATACTGCATTCTCAGGCACATTTTGTTATTTTGGCCCCAGTGCCAAAACAGCATTAACTAGCATTAACTTCCCAACATAACATAGGTGAAGAGATGTGACAATCTAGTGGCTGAACTACCTTCCTAACATTGGGCATAAAAGATATTTTAACATTCTGGGTTCAATCATACCATCTTTAAATAGAATGAAGTCAAAATTTAAAAACTGACTGGAGGAAATTATAATTCCTCAGGAAAGACAGTCAAAAATAGCAAGAGACACAATGGTAACCATTTTTGATCACCTGATACTCGATTTTTACATCATGTACTATGCCCAACCTTCTGTTCTAACCGACTGTTCTTTTAATCACGTTAGGTTTTATTCTCTTCAAAAAAAGTAATAAGAACTGTGGGAGTAAAAAAAAAAAAACCCAAAAAGTGTAATTGTTATTGTAAAAAAGAGAGGAAAGGAAGATGGTCTAAGGGATATAATTACATGTATGAGTGTGTAGGATGGAAAACCGTATTACTGAGCTTTTGTTGGATCATTGAACAGAACTGTCTGCAATCTCACTGTATGAATGTCCACTTTATATGCTTTAATTTTATAATTTGGACAACTTTCTAAGATGACAATGTGTAACCTATTAACTAGTGATTTGTTACTGTATATTTTTTTCTTGAAATTCTGTATTTGTACCCTGATACTGCTTTGTTTTTTTCTTCTTTCTCTTTAAATAAAAAATAAAAGAAAGAGTCTGGGATGCTTTGAACCATACATTTCTGCTCCCACAGTTCAGAAAGCAAGAAATATGTTCTTTTGTGAGAAATGCTTCTGCAGCTACATGTAATGGCAATGGACAACCTGGGCAAAGTTGAGAAAGATCAAGGATTTATAATCAGATGGTCTCAGTCAAGTTATAGATGTATTGGTTTTGCCCACAAGTAGAATAAATTTTTCACTCATTAGGGCATGGCACCTACTTCTTAGGACTAGCAGACTCAGTCCATGGATTTAGAAGACTATGTATGCCAGGTATGTGATAAACACTGAGCTAATGTTAACTTACTTGAATCAACAATTACGTACTTATTTTCTAGGTAAATCATTCTGAATCTCAGTTTTGGAATTAAAAAAAATTGATATTTATCTGATATACAATTCTATTGTCTTCAAAATTAAATTAGTTAAATGTATGAACTCTGGTTCACTAGCTGTTATTATATAAAAATCCCAGAATTAGTTTTAGTTAAATCTGGAATTGAAGTCCATTGAAAGATTTTGAAATCTTTGTCTAGATTTAGATGGGATAGACTCAAAGAAGCCAACCTGAAGAGGATAAGATAAAAACAATAAAGTGTACATAAAATTCATTCTTTCAAAAATATTCATCCCTGGGCCAGGGATTTAGCTCAGTGGTATAAGTGCCTGCCTGGCAAGCATGAGGTCATGAGTTTGATCCCTGGTACAAAAAAAAAAAAAAAAAAAAAATTCATCACCCACTTTAACCTGATAGTCATTAGATATTAAACGGCTGAGGCCAGTAATAAACTACAAAGCAGTGCCCACCTTCATTTGCACATTGGAGACTAGGTCAGTGGGCTGAAAGGAGACAGGACAGATGATCCACACACACCAGTTTCACTGAGAAGTTTCTGGCCCCTTACTCTTAAATGTGTAAGTTTTGAATTGCTGCTCATACCCTAATGAATGCAAAATTTAAACTTATCCTAATGTATGCAAGTTTGCACCATATACTACATCCTTTTAAGGATCAAAGATTAATTCCCTTGAGTTTTCGGGAGTGTTTACAGCTGAGAACTCTCAATCCAGCCCCTTTCTTTGAATCACCCTCAGGAGGCGAAAGCTATGTCAGGCAAGATTTTTCTAGTCCTCACTACCATAACTGGTCAATAAAGATTTTTAAGTACCTGGCCTCCTCACTACAGAAGAACAGCTCTCAAGGGTTGTCCTATCCTGGAACCCCAGCTAAGTTACTCCTCCCTGTGACAAAATCATCTTCATTTCTCACAGGGCATTTCAAGAAAAGTGACAAAGTACACTTACCTAGTTTCAGCTGCAGGGTTTGAGTTTACTATAGCTATAATCAGTTTAAAGGTCTCCAGACATCGGCAGTGCTTAAGGCAGAATGAAGACACACGCAAATGGACTTCCATAAAAATATGAATGACAAGCTTTGAGAAATTTTCCATTGCCTGGACTACAAACGCTTCATCTTGAGTCTCATACAGATAGTGAAACAAGTCCAGAAACACTATCTGTGATGGAAAAGTGTCACGATTTTCTAACCCCTTCACCCATTGAAGTATCTCCTGTTTTATCTTCAGAGATATATTACACTTCAAAATTAACTCCAGTTGTTTTAATAGATCTTCATTCAAAAGGCCAAACAAAAAGTATTTTAGCTGTGTCAAATGGGGGTCATAATCACTATTCCCTTCAAGTAACAGTTTTAAATCTTCAAAAGACTGGGAGGAATGCTCTCTGTCTCTCCAGGCACTTTTTAGCAAATAGAACATAGCTGCAAAAAACTCCTGAATATGTAGGTGAGTGAATACATAGCAGTTTTCATGGTCTGTGTCCTTTTGAAGAACATTCATGTCTAGAAAAACAGAGATATCACAAGTGGTTAACCCATGCTTCCTGAAGTCGTTCTTATAAAGCACGTGTGTCATAGTCCATACTCCTTTGGCCGCTAAGTAGCACATGCTTCTCAACTGGGCTTTGTTGGGTAGATTAGAAATGTATTTCTCTCCTAGTGAGAATAAACTAAAGATACAGCATACAAACACAGATGTGGTTGTCTGGCACACCATCATGATATCATCATTCTTCTCTATTTGCTGCTTCAGACAAGTGCAGATGAGCCGGCACACCATGGGAACATGGCACATGTTAAAAAGCCTCTCGTTGCTTCTTATTGAATTGAACACATCCGTCGCCCAGGTCTTGTCTTCAAAAAAATGATAAATATACTCTTTTCTTTCATCCTGGCACATTCCTTTTAGGTCTACATAACACTGATTTTTCAACAAACGCGGACTGAACAAACGCTGAAGACGGTTAGAAGCTGTGAGTCTTACTGTCACCAATAAAGATGATTCAGGGAGCATCACTTTCCTCAGCAAACTACTTATGAGGAAGGACACAGGGTGTTCTTGGGTCCAGTCACTACAGAGTGCAAATGCAGGTTCCTCGAAGGCAAAGTTCAGTTCATCAAAACTATCAATAATAAAAAGGAGATTACTTGGCTGGGACAGGATCTTTTCAATGGGGATTTCAGTGCTAGGCCAGTCCTTTGATATCAACTGAGCAAAGCTTTTCTCCTTCACCTGGCTAATTTCTTTCCCACCGAGATAGAAAACGTAAGTAAACTTGTGCTGATAGAGGCCTCCGTCAGCCCAGTGTAACATTGCCTTTCTCATCAACGCTGTTTTCCCAACTCCAGCAGCTCCCCGAAGCACCACTGTCCGGAGCGGCTCACCACCTTTGACTTTCACATCAAACAAACATTCCAGAAGCTTTTGCTCATCTTTAGAAGCTCCATGATGAAAATCTGAAGGTTCTCCAAGCAAAGAGTTCTTATTCAGGATTTGAAATTTTTCCTTTATTCGACGTCTGTATTCTGTTCTAGCACCTAAGTCAGTTAGAAAAATACACACACATGCAGACTTATTCATATAAATAGTATAGGCAGCAATGATAGTGACATAGGAGGGCTCCAAGACAAATCTAAATCTACAGAACAAAAATCTACTTTAAGTAAAACTTGAAATGAATTAATGAAAAACAAATTAGTAATTAATGAAGCAAAAGGCTTCATATCTTTAAAAAATTCCCAAATATCTGAGTAGGATGAAAATACAGTTTGAGTTTTTCCTAGTTTCCTCATTTTTCTTCTAAATTTCCATTTAAATGACACTTTTCCAAACTGTAATGCTTTCCTTCATATAGTCTCAAAACTCAATGTACTTTTTCACTCACAGTAAATATCACAAGCTTTTGTTACTTTGTTTTATAGAAATGATGAGCTTGGGTAGAGGCTACATCAATAATTCATCATTTGTCCAGAGTCCATCATATTTCCTTGCATGCAGGTATCAAATATTTGTTGAATTAAAAAGGTAAAGGAATACAATAGCATAATTGAATACTATGAAACTTTGAATAAAGTACAAATACAAAAATGCAAATTGCAAGAAATTATAGCTGAAAAAGAAACCAATTCTCAAAAATATGTATGATATAATCCTATCCTGGAAAAACTGAATGAACTTTATAACTGCAAATCTGTATATAGACTGTGCACCTAAATGTTAATACTGGTGCATATTTCCAAATAGCAAGATTGGCAAAGCAACTGGAGATGATGAGAAATTCACTTCATGTACTTCTGTAACATTTGAATTTTTAAAGATTTTTTAAATTTAAAAACAAAAGATAGAAATGATATAGAATTTCAAAATATAGGAAGTTAACACTAGTTAATATATGGAATACTATTATCTTACATTTGAAATTTTTAATGCATTAACAAGGCTGTAGCACGTCTTGCTGCCAGGTGGCTTGAACCACCCTTGGTATATGCTTCACTGTTTAACTGGGAACCTTCATATTAATTTTATTAAAAAAAAATAAAAGTGATTAGATCAGTTTGAACCAGTTGGTGTATATACCACTGATGGTTCAAGCTGGCAAGAACATGTCAAAATGTCTTAAGTTAAAAAAAATATAGTCATAGCGAAAACATTTGAGACAAAAAACTCATGATTTTCCAGGTGAAAAATCCAACCTTACCATGAAATTATAATTTAGAGTAGTGTTGGTACACTGAGAAGCATCAGTAAATCATTGTTCTCATTTTTTGTGTTACCTGTATGTATGTGTATATATTAAGAAAATAATCATTAGGTTAAATTTTTTTTTTTTTTTTTGGTGCCAGGAATCAAACTCCCAATCTTGTGCTTGCCAGGAAAACACTTAAGCACTGAGTTATATCCCGAGCCCCCTCGGTTTTAAATCATAAAAATAGCTTTCACTTTTTTTCCTGTACTACAAGAAAAAAAAAATCCTCATAGTAGATAAAAAACTAAGGTCACAGTAGAGGGTTATTGTCACATAAAACAAGCAATCTGTATTAGTGCTTGCAATGAAAATGATTCTCAATTTTTTGTTGTTGTTCTGGGAATTGACCTCATGACTTCATGCTTGCGAAGCAGCTGCTGTGCCACTGAGGTATATCCCTAGCTTCCTCTATTTCTTGAATGAAATAATGTGGCCCTTTAGAAAGCAGTTTTGCTGGGTTAAAAATAATCGTTTATCACCTGTCTTGGTTTTTCTACAGTAATTCATAGATACAAACTCAACTATAGGATTCAAAACAAAATGAGGGAAACGGAATTGGAGTTGAACTAGGACTGAAAATAGTTGATTCTAGAAATTATACTTTATATGCGCCAATCACCACGTCTGAAACGCAATTACAGTGTGTACTCTAAAAGGAAAGAAATAGATATAAAACGTCATGCGGTCCCTACCAACCCAGTTTTAGTCCATGAAATACATAAATGTGAATATACCTTATTCAGATTGCCAACTTTGGACTGGGCATTTCCAAATACTACTCTTGAGGCCCTGAACTGTTATGGATCTGACTCAGACTTTGCCAGAGAGCTAGTTTTGTTGACTCTTTCTGAGTGATATTCAGGAAATAGGCACAGGTATTGTATCAAAAATTAACAAGTATTGAACAACGATTCCTTGAAAGGTAAACCTCCAGTTGTTTCAAAATATAAAATACTGGGGATGTGGGAGCCTGTTTACTCACTCATCTCTGCCTCCTGCATCTCCCCAGCCTCAGCCACCTCTGGTCCCATGGTGTCTGTCCCTGTAACAAGTTAGAACAGGAAATGAGAGTTGTAGAGAGCAATGAGCTTTGGTGACTACCAGTACAGGGACCAGCATTCTCCTCAAGGGTCCAGTTCTGTGACCAAAGTCTCAAGCTCTGTCAGCTTGGCTTCAGATAAGTGACGTGGTACAAATAATTCTAGAGTAGGAGACCTCTCGACACCCCAACCCTGCAAAATGGGTCTCGATTTTCTTGCTTTTACTGGCCTTAGGGAGACATAGTAGGCCTCAAAGGAGATAACTGGTACACACTTGTAGCTCTAAAGTCTTGTATATGAATAAGGAATTTTAAACATCTAATATCACATCTAGTATTTTTAGTCATGCCAGGTTTGATTGTTGTTTAGTAATTTTTAGCCCATTACTCATTTTAGAATATCAAATATGATTTAATCATAGGGTAATTTATGACCTTGTGGTTAGGCAAAAGCATACTATATAGGATGATTTCTATTACTCAGTGTCTTCAATCATTTTAAGTATACACACACACACACACACACACACTCCCAACCCCGTTAAGGAGCCATGCTGAATAACTGCACTCAAAACTCTTTCCTAAATTCTTCCAGTGACTCAACAAGCTTGCCATGTGTAACAACCCCATGGAACCTGTGTCCCTCACAATCATTTAATCCCTAAATCTCACACAGAATCACTCCAATGAGTTCCTGGATGTACTTCCTCTCCCTCCTCCCCACATCTGTCCTAACATCACTCACAGTTGGTATCCACTTTTACTCTCTCACACAGATCCTTCAGGTTCAGCTTGGCAAAGAGTCCAAGAATCACATTCCAGGCCTGTTTTCCTGGATAGCATTTATTTATCAAGTTAGCAAGTTGCCTTGGGCTGGCCGCCTTCAATGCAGTCCAGGGCATTTGGCAATGCCCAGGTTCCATGTTTTCATTTAGAAGTAACTTGAATTTATTTAATTCTTCATTGTTTAGCTCCTCCAAATACAGTAGCAGAGAAAAATTAGAAGATGAATCTGCCATCTTGTCCATGGATCGGGAGTCAAGCACTAAAGAAAAACAATTTTTAAAAATGAAATAAATAGGACTTATGAAAAAGTACAATTAAAAAACAGAATCTATATAAATATAGATTAAATCAGTAATCAAGAGTTACAGCCCACTCTAATAGGCTTTAACTGATTTAGTGTCTTCTGTAAAATATTTTCTACCATAACATATTCTTTTAATTTAGACCACTATACTGTCTTGTTTCTTCCATCTTCCCAGGATTTATTCCCCAGCCTACAACTTAGGAGCTATAAAAATTTAAGTAAAAGTTCACCTCTCTGAACCTCAGTGTAATCTTCTCCCAAGAGGCAATATCAAAGCCAACTTCAGAGGACTACAATATCAATCAAGTTCTCATCAGCTGACATAACAACGGATGTTGTTTTGGTTATTCTTTTTATCCTTTCTCTCCTTTACCCAACATGTTATTTCAACCAATATAACATTGTACATGTAAATCTAAAGTGTATATGCAAATGTAAAAGTGTAAATTAAACCCTTTACCTACATGTTACTACTGTTGAAACACATGGAATTGCAATGCACAATTTCTTCTGAGAATGGCCACAAACTCACACATCGTCACTGAGGGTCTGTTGCAAAGCTTCCTAGCAAAAGCTTCCTCCACTTTTACTCGTCCACTATGCTCAGCAAGTTCAATCCTAAAGTTCACCTAAAACCGCATTCTCTTACCTTATTGTACTACAGCATTTCTCTGATGTTCTTACCTCAGGCTTGATCAGCAATAACTACTCAAACTCTCAGCTAACCTATAATTCCACATAACCCATTTCCTGCTAATCGTCTAACTGAACAGTTTCATGCCCTCCCACTTTGAGTGTTCTGAAAACACCATCCAACCCTAGTCTTTCGAGATCTGCAGTTTCCCATTGTTTATCAAGCTGTCTGAAGATCCATTCTGACTTTTTGTTTGAGACGGGATCTCATCATGCAGTTCAGGATAGCCTTGAAGATACTACGTGGCCTAGCTTGACCTTGAACTCACTGCAAACCACCTACCTCAGCCTCTCGAGTGCTGGGATTACAGGTGTGCACCACCACAACGAGTTGACTTTTTATTCAGTTTGAGGAATCCAATTAAATCACTTAAACCACCTTCATTTAATCACTAAACTCTTCCCAGCACCTTCACACTCATCTTTTCAGGGATTTGCTTGAACAAATCTAGTAAATGGTACAGATGGAATTCATTTTAAATCTTGCTTTAATCCCTGTCCTTTCCAGTTTTGCAAAATATGTCCCCCTATTCTTGCTAACAGCATTGGAAAAAAACAGGTGGCAGAAAACAAACAGGGAGAATTTAACCTCTTACATAGGAAGTGTAATAGCTCAAAAATAAATGAAGCCTGTTTCCTAAGTTATTGGTGAACTATTAGCAATTTAGGATTATGTTTAAGGTACATTGTAGAAATATTCCAGATTACAGAAAAATCTGACAGAATCAGGTTCTAAAATAAAGCTATGAAATACACACTTAAATTTCTCCAGGGCATAAAAAATATGGTGAGAAAAAAGTATAGAACACATCAACGTCCTCCCCAGAAGTTTATAGATATTATTGCATATGATCCTATCGCTTTTTCTTTCCTCAAACAGGGCTCTCTTCTTTCCTAGAGCTCATTCCTCCAGCTGTGACCTGAGTGATACATTAATGATCACTATTTTAACTTCTGTCTTCTAGGTCCTTCTATTAGCATTTAAACATGCCCAGACTGAATTTAGTCTTTAATAAACATTTCCTTTACTCAGTATACCCCTAATCTTCATAGTCAAACTTCTTCAGTCTTTCTTACTTTTACTTATACTTCCTCAATCCACTGCAGTCTGATATTTACTAATAATCACTGATAGCTCATACTAACTAGCACCACGTTTCAAATACAGGTATTTTGAGATTCAGTTTTCATATCTGTAAGCAGAAACAAGAGAGCCTGCCTCTGCCAAGATTAAAGTTAATGTATACACCTGGCTTACAAGGTGCCACAGTACTGCATAATTATCTTTAACAATGCCTTACATCTTGATATTTTCTCTCTCATTGACTCTTAGTCCCACTTTTTTCATTTTTCCTTTTTCAGTATCCCTTTGGGCCAAGACAAGAGTCTGAATCATACTACATGATACCCACACTTCTGATAGAGTAATATATTCCTTGAAGGAATTTTTGTTTTATAGTCTTTTTACTTACACCCATTTGTCAAATCCCAAAGAGATAAACAAATGTCATCAAACTGTACTTGAATTAGGCTGTTGGCAGTCATTGGCAACTTTCACAGAGATCAATTTTGGGTCACTTTGGGGTCAAAGGGATAGCACTACTATTTGTAAAATTTTGCTAGTAAGAGAAAGCAAGAGATACACTTGGGATTGCAAAGGTTTTTTTTAGGTGGTTTATTTCATTTTCAGATGGTAAAATTGTTGTGAGGAAGCCTAGAGTGAAAAAACAACACAGGTTGTAGGAATAGCCTCAGACTGAAGGACAGATAGGGGTGGAGCAGTCCACTGAGTTTATTAGGCCAGTGAAAGCGGCACTATTCACAACACTAACTTGGTTGGATTAAGAAGTGGCCTCTGTGTGAGTCAAAATTGATCGTTGGTCTCCATACAATGAGTACTAGTTACCACGGATGAACTCCACTTCTGTTTTCTGCATGTCCTGGTGACAGCAGACCCTCAACCTGAACATCCCCGCTCCAGCACAGAGCTGACCAAGTCAAACCCCTAGATTTCACCCCATCCCTGGTGGGATCCTGCCAATCCCCTAGAGGTCACCCCACACCCCTGGTGGGATCCTATCTGCACTTGCTTCTGAACCTTGACCCAGGGCCCATATCCTTGTTTTCACAGACTCATCCCATGGAGTCCCTCCTAGTCACACACCCATGAAAAGAAGCGTCACTCCTTACCTTGGGTCTTAGTGGGTCTCGGTAATGCAGGTTAAACCCCACCACCAAAAGCTACGCACCAAAGAGAGAAAGAAATATTTGAAAAGGCCCCACAGGTACTCACAGTTTAATGAGAGGAGGTTGGCCTCTGGCCTTTAAGGCATCTTTTTTCTCCTCCCCTATTCGTGGGCAAATTTAATAGGAGGGCTGTGTGGGCTGGGCCAGGGCAGTTGAGCATGCATTGGCTGGCTAGGCACCGGGAAGCCTCTGACCATCGTTTACTCCTCCCACTCACTCTCCCAAGGCATTGTGGATGGATGGGTGGATGGAGGATGGATGGATAATTCTGTGTTCAGCACACCTGTAGGCACACAACTTTCTTCTTTTCATAATTACCAGTGATGGGGTGTGGGAAGGGAGGCAATCTGGGAATTGAATCCTGTTTTTGACTGTCCTTTCTCAGGCAGGTTGATTCCCAATAGGCAGTATCCTTTTATTCATTCACCCAATAATTTATACAATTATTGGGCTTGTACTTCATGTCTGGCAGTTTTCTGAGCCCTTTTCGGCAGTGAACAAAATATACATTCTTGTTCCACTACCTATAAACCCTACAGAACTTACATTCTTCTGAAGGAATCCAGATAAATTATCATATTTATCAGGTGACAATTGTTATGGAGAAAAATTAACTACAGTAAGGGAGGTAGTAATGGGGTAGAGTGGGTAAGGGATGGGTCCTATTTCTCCTTAAGTGGAAAGGAAAGACACCACTATGGTGACACTTGCAGAAAGAGTGTGACCAATGCAGATATCTGGGAGCTGAAGCATTCCAAGAAGAAATTACAGTACAGAGTCATTTTGACATAGTTGAAAATTTGCATCAAATCAATGATGATGGTCATCATAACCCTATGTTGACTTATGAATATGTAACCTCATCCAAATCTCAGATGATGAGAATTGTTAATAAATGGCTTTGATCCTGAGGATAGCAATTGCAAAGTCATTTTAGATCCCAACAGAACCAGTAGTTTTAGGAATTAGAATCGTGAAATTCTCATGACAGACCCCTATACCAAACAGATAAATATACAGCCTCTCTTACTGGCTTCCTTTTTCTCAGTATGAATCACTCAAAACATCTTTTCCTATTTATATAGCAAGATTTGGGAGAATTTGGAAATGTTGATCATCTTGTTTCAGGCAGTATTTTTCCAGATGGAATGTTCGTGGAGCACTTTAAACTTTATTGGAAAAGTATGAGCCAGTATTCATTGCATTAAGTAAATGCATGAAGCTGATGTAAAGTTGCCAACACAGCTGATATAGTTTCCAATAATATCACTCCCGATCAGAAATCAGAAGCCCAAACTGTAAAGATTCGTATAAAAAGTAACTCAAAGAATAATCAGCAGCATGGTGCAAGAGAAAAAGAAAAGCAAACTGTTACCTTTGGTTTAATTCCAACCTACTATATTAATTAATTTTACATAACTGCTTAAGTTTTAAACTGTAATTTTAGTGCAATCTTTTTTCTTTTTGTTTTAACTCGTACTGAAAGCAAATGCTGTTGAAAATAACATGGTTTGCTCCTTATTGGCCCATTATTTATTATGTTGAATATCTTGTATATAAGCATGTACAATACTTTAAATATATAAATGTTTAAAATTTTGGTCTGAAACCATTAACATATCCATAAAACTGGATACTCAAAATATTTAGTTTCTGAAATTAAAAAAAAGAAACCTAAGGAAACAGGTAAAGAAACTAAAGAAACTTTTAGATGTTTGAGGGCCCTGAAATTGTACCTTTACTTTTGTAAATTAGAAATTTTAAATTTTTTTAAAGTTAGATAGAACTGACCATAATTAATTTTACATAAATGCTTAATTATCATACTGTAATTTTAGTGTAATCATTTTGTTTTAACTTATACTGAAAGCAAATCCTGATGGAAATAACATGGTTTGCTCCTTATTGCCCTATTATTTAAAAAAATTTTGCTTTGCTTCTTATCATTTGTAGCAAAATTTAACTTTTTGGTCATTCTCATTTTAAAGTGACAATAAATATAAAAATGCTAGTCTCCTAAATGTCTACAAACAAAAAACTGTCTCAGAACATTTAAAGATCACGCCTCATTTCTGCAGCTAGAAAAACACTATTTCTCATAAACTAATCTAATAAGATACTAAGTTGAAAATATAATCTCTATCTTATTTTATTGTTCCTGTTGACCTGCTTGAGGGGTCAGCAAGGGGGATTTTCATGGGTGATGTCCCAATGTTAAAAAATGCACATGTGCAGGACATCAGAAACAACAGTAGGCATGGAGCAGAGCAGAGAGCACAAGAGCAAGAGCTGTCAGTGTCTTTAATGTATACTTCATATACAAGTTGTTATCTCATGTTTACATTCTGACATAGTGCATGCAGGTTTACCTGTGCCAAGTCGTGGTTACATACTATATTCCATTGTGCACCTGTGCTAGACAAGCACGGTCAAGTCCTCAGGTGTCCATACATGCCCTTGAGCTTTGAAGTCATCTGTTTCCTCACAGTCCCATAAGAAAAATTGAATCCATATTTATAGTATTTCACCTATTTTCTGATTATATATATTTAAGTAAATCATGAATGTAAAAAGAATACAGTACAAATGAGCATAGTAAGTTGAAAGAACAAGGCCAGCACGGCTAACATGGGATGAAGAGGAAGAATAATAGAATATGAGATCTGAAAGCTCAGAGAGAAAATGAGAAAAATGAGGAGAGTTTATAAAAGGCCATATAGGTTACTACAAGTACTTTGGCTTTGACTGTAAACTAGCAAGCCAATTAAGGGCTTCAAGCAAATTAATAATCATAATTATGTTTTAAGAGAATCATTATGGATAGTGATCGAGTACATGGGAGGAAGGCAATGGTAAATGTAGACCAGAAACGTAGACCAGTTGAAAGAGTGTAACTAACTTCATGTGAGATAAAATGATGGCCAGAGCAAGGCTCCTAGCAGTGAAAGTGTAAATTGGTCCTGCTGTGGATATTTAGGGTAGAACTGCAAGAATCTGCTGATGGAGCACATAAGGGATCTAAAAAAGGAAGAAAAAGAAGCAATCAAAAATGAGTCCAACATACTGATGTAGAAAAATGGACAAGTGAGATGGAGGAGATTGTGAGACAAGCAAGTTTGAGAGGAGTCTCAGCACATTTTTGGACATGCTAAATCTGAGATGTTGAAGATTCCAAAGGAGTCTAGAACTAGAATTTAAGTCTGAACTGGAGATGCAAGCTTTGGAGTTACTAGCCTATAGATGGAATCTAAAGATAAGGGAGAAGAGTAGATGACATGAACGTTTAAACCAGATACAGAGGCAAATACCTCTAATCTGAGCACTGAAGAAGCCTAAGGCAGGAAGATTGTACATCTGAGTGTTTCCTGGGCAATTTAGCAAGATCCTGTCTCAAAATTTAAAAGATAAGTAAATAAAAAGACTGGGGATGTTGCTCAGTAATTGTAGAGTGTCCCCAGATTTGATTTCTAGTATGACAAAAGAAAGAAAAAATGCCAAGTCTCATTCCTGAGCCCTTCTACTGTTTCTTTCTTTCTTTCTTTTTTTTTTTTTTTTGTCTTTTTTGAGACAGGGTCTCACTGTGCAGTTAAGGCTGGCTCTAAGCTCAGTTTGTAGCACAGGCTGGTCTCAAGCTTGCAACAACCCTCTTGCCTCAGCTCCCAAGTGCTGGGATTATAGGTATGTGCCATCATACCTGGCTGCACTACTGTTTAGAAGACACAGGGTGGGAATGTGACAGGAAACTGAGTTAGATAGAAATATTATAGACACACAGGGCTGGGCTCTTGAAGGAGCCAGTGCAAGAAGACCAAATCCCTTGCAAATGTGGGGGAGACAGACACCTCTGCTGTGGGCCAGACCTCAAGACAAAAGATCAAACAAATACACCCAAATCCTAAATAGGCCTCTGTCACTCTGAGGAAGCCAGGAATCAGCATCCCAAACCCCTGCAAGAGAAATCGCTATTCTTTAAGCAAGCCTCCTTGCTGCATGACTCACTTCCCCATTTGTTCCTGATTTAATCAATTTTAACTGAGTAATTAATCTTACTGGTTGACCATAGTTCTGTTCTGCCTCATGCCTGCTTGCCTTGTGAATTTCCATGTTTTCCCCTCTTTAGACCTTCCTGGCTTTGTAACTTTACTCTATAAAAGTCCCTAGAAAAGACAATCTGGCAACCCACTTGGGTCTCCTTCTGTCTTTCTCTCAGACAGAAGCTTTCTTTCTCTCAATAAATATATTCTGCTCTTAACCTCCATTGTTCCTAAAATTCATTCTTTGATTTTAGAGAACATGAACTCATACTGGACACATAGTAGGTTGGAAGTTTCATTCCCCTATATTAGGAAGAGCAGTAAAAGTGTTTTTAAGAGCCTGAAAATGAATGTTTAGAAATGAAAACCCAGTATATTGTGTCTAAACATCCAAGAGAAGAAAGTATATCAAGAGAGATAAATTGTACCCAATACTGCTGACAGAACAAGGTAAGACTGAAACTACCTACTGAATTTAGCAGCATAGAGGTTATTCATGATTTTTAAAAATTCATTTGAGTGGAATGGTGGGGAGAAATCTAATTGGAATAGGTTCAAGGAAGACTAAAAGGAGGAAAATTTGATATACCAGTCTACTTTTTTCAAGAAGCTTGGCTTAAAAAGAAGAGAAATGAGATGGTTGCCAGTGAGGGAAATGGGACTGCTACAGAATAAATATATCTGCCCCAGAAGTCACATATTGAAAGCCAACTCCCAACGTGATGGCATTAGGATCTGGAGTCTCTGAAAGGCGTAAAGACTGCAAAACATCACAACACACAAGAGTAATGCCCTTATCAAGAGGGCTCAGTAAGTTCAATGTGAGAATCCAAGGAGAAGTTAGCTGTTTATGAACCCGGGAGTGAGTTTTCATCAGATAGAATCTGTAAATGTTTTAAACTTGGACTTCGTCCCCAGAACCCTGAGAGGTAAGTTTCTGTTATGTGTAAACCACAGAGTTTATGTGATTTTGTTATAGCAGCCCAAAGACCCAGCCCTCAATAGGCCCTAAACAAAATTGTTTTTTTTTTTTTTTTTTTTTAAAGAGAACAGCACACTTGATTATTGATGGTGAAGATCTAGTAGAGAGGAAAGGAATGTTACAGGAGACAGGTGTTCTTAGAGTTAGGTTGGCATGTGACAGGAATAGGTGTAATCTAGTAACTAGGCAGGCTCCTTAACTAGGAGCACAGCTTTTTATCCTACACTAAAAAATAAACTAAATGGATGCTGATGCAAGTAGGTGTGTGAATGCATTACGAACAGTAGGAAGGTGTGGGGGATTTTCTTTGATTGTTTTCTCGAGGCAATTAAAAATACTTTAACCAACTAGGGACAGGAATGACAAAGCAGATAATTTTTGTAAATGTTTTGTGGATGTGAAAATATCATCTGTATTCTAGAGATACTTTTTAAATATATTTTCAAATCCATAATATTAATTATACTTTTTATCTATTACTTTTCAATGCTCTTACATTAATTCTGAGACAAATGTATTGAGTTTTCTCAGATTACGTTTATCAAGTTCTTAAATTTGTCTTTGCTGTATATATTTAGCATAATTGATGCTATTCTTTATAAACTGTGCCTCTTATCAGTAAGTAAAACTCATTCTTTCATTATTAATATTCATTAGTTGAAGTTTTTGGTCTTTTTTGATTGCCTAATACTTTTTAAAACATCTTACATATTTTGTAAATAAGATCAGTCTGGATTTTGGTGCTTGATTCAGGCTATTTCTCTTTCTATAGAAGTCATTCCTTTCACATTTACTGTAATGGCTAATAATTTGTCACATTCTTTATACTTCAGCTTGATTATTTTATATCAAGAGTTTCTCTGTTTCCTCTCTCATAATTTTTTGTGGGGTATTATTAGAGACACTTTCACAGTATCAGTTATTGGGGACCCCTGCCATGAGTCTCTAGTCTCCTGCCAAGTGTTACAGGTGGCAAGAAAGAATAAGAGACAAATAGGGGAAAACAGAGATCTTGGATGACCTGTTGTTCACAGGGAAAGAAAACCACAGAGGCACCTGAGCCTTGCATTACAAGGTTACACCTGAGTGAAGGACAATGGGTGAAGGGCAGTGGGTGTTTCTGGGAACAGTAATAGAGACTGCTACTGTGGGCTAGTATGAAGAACAAAGCCTTCTTACAAGGACAAGAAGACAGGGAGGCAATAAAGAAACTGTAGTTTCCCCAAGTGCCTTATCAGTCTTCAGCAGGTCAGGTCAGCAGCTTTACAGCTTCCAGCTGTGACCAGAAAAGACCAGGGAGTTTCCTGAGTTCCAATCTGGTTCAAAGAACAGGACAAGGACAAGCCTGGAGGTCCCCTAGACTCAATTTATAACCTCTGGTCCCCAACAGGGTATCTGTTTTTTTTTTTTTATTTTATTTATTTATTTACTTTTTTTTTTGGTCTTTTTGTTTTTATCGGTACCAGAGTTCGAACTTAACGACTGTTGCTTGCAAGGCAGGCACTTATGCCACTGAGCTAAATCCCCAGCCCCAGGGTATCTGTTTTTGGTTCGTTTATTATCCTTTCTTAAAGTGTTTCTTCAGATTAGAGAGACCTCGAGTGATGCAGACTTCGGTGAGTCCTTACAACTCTTTAAATACTTTGCACCATGATAGGTGATTTTATTTTGGCTGATGGATTGGAACCCATTTACTATACTAGACTATATTGTTATGGAACATATTCCTGACTTCCAGCATTACAAAAGAGAATTCCAATGTCATTTTAAAATAACTTACCTTTTCTGCCTGAAAGCTGATCTTTATATCTAGTGTTCTTTTACTCATCTAGGCTGAAATGTAGTGAACCTGCAGATTCAGGCCAGTGGACTATTTCCATTATTATTCGTTTCTTATCTTGTCAATCCTCCTCCTCCCCCTCTTTTTTGTTTTCCTTTTGGAACTTCTGTGTCTGTATGCTAGATTTCACAGACTATGTTTTATACCTTTTCTCTTCTTGATTTCCATTTCTATCTTTTTTTCTCTATAGTTTGGGATGTATCTTTAAATCATATAGCCTATGTTTTGGGTCAAAAGGGGCAGTATATTCTTTTAATTCAATTGCTAAAATGCTTTAGCTATGTAGAATTAATTTAACTCCAAAAAGTCTTGTTTATACTATGCTTGGTGGCTCCTTTTTGTTATTCATACTGTTGCAGGCAGCTGGGTTAGTTAGAAATATTATAGACAGTGAGACAAGGCTAGGTCCTCAATGGAGCCAGTGCAGATATCTGGCAACTGCGGGGCAGACAGACACCTTCTGCTGTGGGTCAGGCCTCAAGATAAAGGATCAAACAAATGCATCCACATCCTAGGGACTGATATTCTAATTAGTTCCCAATTACCCTGGAGTCACTATCCCATCCCCCTAGGGGAAAGGTCACAACTCCAAGAATGCCCCCTTCCTACGTGACTTGCTTCTGCATTTGTCCCTAATGTAATCAATTTTACCTGAAGTATTAATCTTATTGGCTGACTATAGTTATGTCCCACCTTATGCCCATCTGCTTTATGAGTTCCAGTCTTCCCCTGCCTTAAACCCATGGTTTTACTCTATGAAAGTCCCTGGAAAAGACAGTCCTGAGCAACTTGCTCAGGTCCCCTTTGTTTCTAACAGAAGCTTTCTTTCTCTCAATAAATATATTGTACTCTTCACCTCCATTGTTCTTAAAATTCATTGTTTGATTTTAGAGAACATGAGCTCGCGGATATAATAGGTTGGGAGTTTCATTCCCCCATATCAATACTATCCTGTGCCCTACAGCATTTATAGGAAACTCAGATGTACATTTTGTCTTTCTGACAACTGTATCCTCTTAGGCACCCCTCCCCCAAATCAGGTCTGCTTAATGAAGATTTTAAGTGGCAGCAGTTCCACATTTAGGAGGAAAACAAACAGCTCTCTATCTCTCTCGGCCATTGAATAGGAGCACAAAGCTGCCCACTTTCCTATGGAGACAATTGGATCAACCCTCTTGCTCTCTACTTTCTGTGATCTCTCAAACTCCACTCAGGGACAGTTGCCATACATAGTCACCTTCTTCTTGATCTCACAAAAGTCAAGGAATACCAATTTGTGCAGCAATCCTAAGGGGTCAACAGGTCTGAGGCCAAGGCTTTTTTCAAAAACACCATGATGGAGCTTTCTCAGATCTAGGTTCTTGTGATGTTTTCCATGTTTACGTCCAGTTCACAGGAAAGAGGTTGGTGAGGAGTTCCACACCAGGTTTCTTTCTTTTTTTTTTTAATCAGGTTTTTTTCTAATGTCTTCTAGTTATATATATATATATATTTTTTTTTTTTGATATATATATGTCCGGAACGAGTTCATGTTTTTTAAAATTGAAAAATGAATTTTAGGAATAATGGAGGTGAAGAGCAGAAATATTTATTGAGAGAAAAAAAGCTTCTGTCTGACAGAGAGACAGAAGGGGTCCTGAGTGGTGGTAGAACTGTGGGGAACCGGCGGTGGCTGAAAAGATAAGAAGTATGAAATATAAATGACCTTTATTTTGAGAATTCTGGGAGAGACCCCCCAACCCCCCTAGGGGTGCGCCATCTCCACTCCAGGTCAGGGCGCTCTCTCCGTGGAACACGTGGAGTGAGGCACATAAGTACCCTCGGCCTGGGGTGGCACCTAGGGGGCATTAGGGATGCACAGGTAGCCCATTGGTGTTTGTTTGGCGCCAGAGGTAGATTCCTAAGGGGGAGATAGAAGCTCCGGCTACAGTGTCTGGCCTGCGCCAAAACCCTTTCAAGTGGGTTGTCAGGGACTCTGTGTTTTGTAGGGATTTTTGTAGAGTAACCATGAGGTGAGGTGGGTCTAAAATTGGGGAAAACTGGGAACTCACAAGGTAGAGGGGCATGAAGTGGGACAGAGCTATGGTCAACCAGTAAGTTTGTTCAGGTAAAGTTGACCAAATCAGGGACAAATGGGGAAGCAAGTCATGTAGCAAGCAAGCATTCTTTATGGATCAGTGACTCTTCCTATAAGAGGTTGGAATGGTGACTCCTGGTTTCTCCAGGTGATCCAGATTTAATCCCTAAGGATTATATTTAAGGGTGTGGTTGCATTTGTTTTGTGTTCTGTCCTGAAATCTGGCCTACAGCAAGAGGTGTGTGTCTCCCCCAAGGTCATCAGACATTGGTCCTCTGTGCCCACTACTTCCAGGGTCTACGCCTGTCTGACTGCCTACAATATTTCTAACTAGCTCAGCTGCCTGTAACACTAATACTTAGATTTTTCTCTACAAAACCTGATTTAAGAGAAGCTGACAGCTTCGATCAGGGAGAACTCAGTCAAGTAGCCTTTACTGAGGATCTCCCCGTCCCCCACCACATTTTACACATATCTTTGACAGCCTCTTTTTCTATGATGGACTTTATGAAATGGGAGACTCATCTTTAAAATTTTTATTTATTTATTTACAATAAGCAATTATTTCCTTGGCCTGATATGTTTGACTTCATTATGAAAGAACCTGAAGCTGACAGGATACATAGATTTCCACCAACAGGAAGAAGCTTTTTCATTAACAGAGATGAAATGTCATATCTGAGTACGAGAGCCCTGCTCCCCACCCCACTCCACCCCACCCCTTAAAAAAAAAAGAAACCAGTTAAACTCCATGAATTACTAAAAGTCATCCCTCCAAACATTTCTAATTAGCAGCTGCAGTGGATGGAAAAAAAAAAAAAAGGAGGGAAGCAGCTGTCCATCATTTAGCAATCCTGTCTGTGTGTGTGAGACCAGGGGACAAGAGTGAGAATCCTGGATGTGTGGAAAGTGTAGATAATCTACCTGCCCTCATACCTGCCCCCTCCACATGAAAGTGGGAGAGTCATTTATATTTATATTAAAAAGCCCTGACTTTTCCCAGTTTCTGACCTTAGTATAGAAATGACATTATTAGGTATATGGTTGCAAAGACATTAAAAATTATTCTTAATTAGAATTCACTTAAAGCAAAATCTCAGGTTTCACTTCTCCCTTAAAATGAGTATTAAAAACTGAAAACCCTGTTATGATTCTTATATCCTGATACCAAATAATGGAGTCTCAAAGCACAGTATTTGAGATGAAGAAGTCAAACAGCTAATACCTAATATCTTTTTGGGCCAGAAGTATCTAAATTAAGTGGATGACCACTAATATTCTGTGGGTTGGAAGCAGAGTGTAGGGCTGTCCACCTCCCATGTCCATTCTACTGGTGAATGTCTGTGCATTCAGCACTTTACCAACTGCATTGACTTATCTACATTGAAAAACCTTCATCTTATAATCAAGAAGATAGAGGTAAAATTTTAAATTACTTGCCTAACCCACCATGTGACTGACAAAACATCTATAAAGTTTTGTCAGACAAGACTTCATTTGTTAAAATATTAAGTCATTGTCTCTGAATATTCAAGCCAGGAAAAGGCCCATAAATAATAATTTTCCAAATGTGGTTTGAGAGTCTAAGAAATTCAAGCGCTTATTTTGTGGTGGGGCTCAGGCAGACACACTCTGAGTTATTCACCTCTATTAAACATTCAACTGTAAATATAAACTTAACATTTAAAGTGCTTCCTATGTGTCAAGGAGCTACTTGAGCACTTATGCACTAACATTTAATTCTAACATGTGAAATATTGTTATGCTATTAGTAGACTACTGTTATTATTACTATTAACCTAACACAAGTTATGTGATTAAGGTTAAGTGATTCAGCCAAGGTCACATCAATAATAAGCGATGTATTCATATTAGAATCTAGAGATCTTTGCTTTTAACTACCCTACCAAAGCTTCCTTGCCTAATACTAGTTAGGACACTTCTGATACTGTAGTAGTTTGATGGACAGGGCTTAAGGGAACAGAAACATTTTCCTAATACAAAACAGTGGACTATGTAACAACTGAAAGCTCTTCAAACGCTCTGCTTTCTCAGGTCGCCAAGGAAGGGCTTGTTTACACTGCTTCACCTCTGCTTTACCTACACTCCAATCTTGAGTTTAAAAGCAATGTTAGCTACAGTCAGGACTATTAGGGTATCCATTCTGCCAAACGCACGGGATAGCAAGCCCAACTATACTTCGCCAAACAAAGGTGATCCTACAACAGGTGTTTCCTCGGCTTCTGGTGGAGAGATTTTATATCTGTAGTTCCAGAACTCTCTGAAGCCAGTTACTTCTTTTCTTGGGCTTTCTCTTCTTCTTCTTCTTTTTTTTTTTTTTTTTTTTGGTACCAAGGATCAGGACCTCACGTTTGCCAGGCAGCTGCTTGTGCCCCTGAGCTAAATACCCTGCCCTTCCCAGATTTCTTATCCACGCCCCCTCCCCCAGGCCCTAAACCCGTTAAACTTTTACATAGCCTTTTATTGTAATAAGATTTTTTTGTATGTCTTTGTCTTTAATTTAAACGTTCTCCACGTTCTTGGAACAGCGCTTACAGAGATGGCCTTAAACAGGATGGTGGCCACACCTGCAATCTCAGATTGGAAGGCTGAGGCAGGAGGGTTGCAGCGAGTTCGAGAGCAGTCTGGACTACAAAATAAATTGAAGGCCAGCCTGAACTGATTTTTTTAGAGACAGGCCAGCCTGTCTCTAAAAAACAAAAACAAAAACAAAAAAACCCAAAACCCAAAACCCATTTGTCATCCAAGGCGTTGAAGCGCCCGGAGGCCCGCCCTCCGACGAGGAAAGAAGGATTCGGGACATTTGGCCAATCAGGAGCCACGTCCTGCGGCGCTGTCGTTCCCCCGCCCCGCCCCTCCCACCCCCTCGGACACGCCCCCAAGTGTCTCAGTGCAGTGTAGTTCTGGGACTCCTTTTTGGGTCCAAGGGGCTGCGGTTCTTGTATTGTTTGGGCCGAGTGTGTAGTGTTGTTCCGGTGTCCCCTTCAAGGCTCGAAAGGCCGTGTGAGAAGCGGACCAGGACGGGCAAAGCTGCGAGTCAAGTGAAGGCGGTAGGAAAGTGAGTGGGCTCTAGAGAGGCGATTGCGGCTTAGAAATCCCTGTTCTCCGCGGAGGCGGGTCTCTCGCAGCCGCGTTCCCTGTGAAGGCGGAGGGTAGGGGGCAGAAGTGGGCTGAGTCCCAGGGCCTCCCAGGTGTTTGACTGGGAGACGTTGGATCCGACCGGGGACCTGGACGCTCACAGGAGGCCGCGCAGTGCTGGCGCTGAGCTCCTGTTCCTTGAGAGCTGTTCTTGCGCGAGTGTCCAGTACTACGACCTGCTACCCCGCGTCGGAATCCGACCTGTCTTGCGCATTAACGAATTTTTTTGGAAAGGGAACTTTTACTTTTTTCCAAGGACCTACCAGCATTCAGCAAGGACAGACCTGGATGGCAAAGGCCCATGTTCACACTTTATGGCTGAGGAAACAGACGTTGGAAGGTGTAGGAGTTTGGTCGTTAAAGTCCAACAAATGGTTGATAGTTGAGATTGTTCAGGCCCTGCGATCTTTATCCAGAAATTAGGTACAGCTGTGATAGTAAATCCAGTATTTTGCTGTAAGTGGAGGAGGGGAGTGGGATTATTTTCTCCTTAAATTTATTAAAATATAAGAAAAACTGTAAGAATAGAAACCACTTAAATTGTTGTTTACATTTTGATATTGTTATATGTGTAAATGAAGTCACTGATTTTAAATTAATAAAACCATGGGGCTTAGAAGGATTTAATTACATAGAAAAAAATCTGAATCCTTAGAAGAGTCAAATTGAAATCAAATTATTTTCGTGTGTCTTAGTTACTTTTTTACTTGTTGAGACAAAATACCTGATACCCAAAGTTAGGGAAGGAAAGGTTTGCTTTTTAGTTTTCGGGGGTTTTAGTTTATACTCAGTTGGCTGCTAGGCAGCGTTGCAGGTTAGCCCTTCATGGCCGCCTGCAAACAGGAAAAGCGAAAGCAAAACTGAAACAGAAAGACCCTCCTTCTTCCCGGCTGTAACACTGGCTCCACCCTTGGGCGGGTGAAACAGGTCCTGTCAATCTGAGCGCTAGAGGATGAACCAATCACAAACGCCAGATTCCGCAGCATCCAAAATTACTGGAGGCCTGGAGTCTGGATGGCAAAGGAATATACGATCTATAACAAACGCCTTGAAGAGTTGTATTCCTTGAAGTTTCCAGAGAATCAGAAATAAGTTACAAAGTGCTAGTGCTCATAGCTCTTCTATCTAATTGCTGAAGGGGAGCAGGAGATTTGGAGTCATTCACTTAGTGTGTGAGAAATTTAGTGAGGTTAGGAATTAAAAGTCATGCTTTTTTTTTTTATTTTCAACAGGCTCAGTATTGCACCACTCCCCCAAAAGAGGAGCACAAAGGAGAAAGGAATGCACACTCCTTTTCTGTTGATCTGATCTGTGGTGAGTAGGATTATCTTTTTCTCATTTATAATGTGCTCTGACTTCTTTATCAGTAGGTAGGTAGTGGAAGTGGCAGTGAAGACAGATGGATCAGGCTGCATAGAACATGCTCCTCTGTTGGAGAACAACAACCAGGCCACCTTTCCAGCATGCCCCTGGCTTCTATTTACTCAGTTACTGAAATCTGCAGTGCATATAATTCTTACTGTTCTTGGTGTTCTGAGGTAAAATTTAAGAACGTCTCCACGTTGAGTAATACAGCGTATGAGATTAATAATTTCCTAACCCACAATACACAGTGTGCCTCTGTGGATTCTAAATTAAAAAATTTTTTTTAACTGGGGATCAAACTCATGACTTCACACTTGCCAGGCAGGTACTTGTGCTGCTGCCCTGTATCCCCAGCCCTGCTGTGCCTCTGTGGAAGAGTGCTTGCTTAGCCTGTGCAAGAACCTGGATTTGATCCCTAGCACCACAAAAAACAAAACAAAACAAAAAGAATTTGAGGACATTAGTTGTAGGGAAGTGTAAGTAATGTTTAAAGTGAAGTGGAGGGGTATTCATTTTTGATGTCTTAGTTGCTCCTTTACACTACCAGGAGTCCCTATCACATCAAGCAAAGGCACCTATTATTGACATTTCTGTGTGTTTGTACTCTTTTGTCTAATACTTAGTGTATGTCCATACTTACTAATCCGATTATGCACTAATATGTGTGTATACATGTATGTATATATACTGTATGTCCATGTATATGCATAAGTTTGTTTATGCATACATAAAACATGTATTATAATATTTTTACATGTGTATGTATATAAATTGACTTGTGAAAAATAGGTCATGAGGGCAGGTAGTATTTTCAGATATATAGAACTGTATCTTGTATGTAGTAAGCAATGAGTAAATATTTGTTAAATATGAATGGCTGTTATTTGTATAATTTTTTTCTTGTTACATATAATTCACACTTTTACAACCATTTTTGGTAGCATGCGTTTTTAGGACTAGTTCCATTTTAGGCATATATCATTCTTTAAATTTTCTTTTATTGAGGAAAATTTAAGTATTTCCTGTTATAAACAACTTCTAGTAAATATTCAGTTTCTTAAGATATACTCTGAGAAATGGAAAAACAATGGATATAAATATTTTAGGCTTCTGAAAACTTAAGTTCTTTTTGGGAAATATTACATGAACTTCCAACTCCTATGACAATTGGAAATACCTGCTTTCTCTAAAACTTTACTAGCATTTGGTATTTCAAAAAAATTTGCCTTCATCGTAATCTCCCTTACTCTTTATTAAAATTGATCTTGTTTTACTTAGACTATCTGCATTCTTTTTTGATGAATTACCTATTGACATAATACATCACTGTTAATGGACTAAACTTTTAGTTTTCATTTGGTACTCTTTTATGTTTTTTGTATGCTATAAACATCTTTCTGAATTTGCCACTTGCCTTTTACTTTTAAGGGTTTCTTTAAGTAATTTTTAAATTTATGTAAAACAAAATACTGCTTCTTGCTTCATCAAATGTAAAACATAAAATTTCATTCTCATTTTTTATATTTTCAAGTGTCTTAAAACATAATTCTTAAATCTAAATTTATTTTAATGTGAGAAATGACAGACTATAACTTTTTTTTTCTTCCTAGTTACTGAATTTTTCTAGTAACATCTCCACTGATGATGGTATTTTCATATTCAAAATTACCAAACTTTTTATATTTACATAGCTACAACATAGATCACTTTTGAGGCTGCCTTATTTCCTAATCCATTTCTCAGTTCTTAACATTGGTATTTTTATTGTTTCTTACGTGTAGTGCATTTCATGGGCAGTAAGGGGGAATGTAGTGTGTCTTTTTTTACTCTGGTGAGGATGAAGAAAAGAAGGAAAGTAGATTATATGTTGGAAATACTCCTCAAAGTGATGTGATGATTTCTATTTTGGAAAAAATGAAGTAAAAGTTACATGTAATAAAGTTTTGACATTGAATATACTGTCAGTATGTTTTATCAGAGTAGACTATTAGTCAAAATATAAAATCAGGTATCAAGTTTGTTGCCTATGCTTGTTTCATGTCTACCACTTCTTGGTTGTGAGAACTAGACTGAGTATTTAAGCAGTTCCTCATACTTCAAATGAGAAAGCCTACTATTTATGGCTATGGTTAAATGAGATCATACATGTAAAAAAATACTTAGCATATTGTAGAGGTTGATTACTATTTAAAATTTTAAACTATATCCAATATAACTTTTTAGTCACTATGACATAAAAATCAATACCAAGAATCTAGCTTTTCTTCATAAAATTTATATCCATTTATCTCAACATCATTAATTAAACAAGCCCACAAATTTGACATCATCTTTTACCATGTTTAAAATTCTATGTCTTGAATTTGTTTCTGGGTTTTTCATCTTTTTTGTTGATATTTAGTCCTATGTCAAACCTATGGTATAGTTACAGAGGCTTTATTAGTTGTTTTTTTTTTTTTTTTTTTTGTCTTTTTCCTTTTTGTCGGTACCAGGGATCGAACTCACGACTGCCTGCTTGCAAGGCAGGCGCTTATGCCGCTGAGCTAAATCCCCAGCCCTGAGGCTTTATTAGTTTTAACATACCATTTTTATGGCTCATATTTAGATGTCTTCCAAAGCCTCATATGTTTATGCATGGGATTAAGGGTATATGGTACTGAATTAGCCCACTAATTGGTTTATCATAGTTGTGGTGTGGATAATTGGAAGGCATACCCTGGATATGGGTGATACCACCCAAAAGGCTTGTAACCTGGATAGAATATAAAGGGACAGAAAGAAGGCAGGGGATTGGTACTTCCTGCCTCCTGTTTGCTCTACCATGGGCTATTTCTTCTCTGTGATGCCTCTCTGCCATGCTACCCTGCCTTGGAGCCAGCCAACCATGAATTGAAACCTCTACAAACTGTGAGCCAAAATAAACATTTCATTTAACTTGTAGGTGTCAGATATTTTGTCTCAGCAATGAGAAGACCCCATTAGTGTAGTCTCCTCTTTTTATTACTATTTCACAATTTTCTTTTTCTCACAAAAAGTAGTTAGAAATCAGTTTGTGATCTTTTCAACTCTTGTATCAAAAATCTTGTTAATATCTTAATTGAATCACATTGAAAGTGAGATTTAGTATATATCATTTATAAATGATTAGCAATATATTCTTGTTACTGGATTTCATGTTAATTATAATTTTATTGTGATGTGTTACGTATATGCAAAAGTATATGAAAACATTCATGTACAATTTAAAATACAGTAATAACACGGATGCTCCTCCATCTACACCAGTATTCCTACCCTTTCTGGAGGAGGAGCAGTCAGTATATTAAATGTCACATTAATTCCTTAGATTTTTTTTTTCCTATAGTTTTGACTTACCAAGCCTGCATTTCCAAACAGAGTTGGTTTATACTTTTGAACATTGTACAAATGGGATCATTGAATCCATTTTTCTGTAAATGGCTTTGTTTGCATGTTAGATTTTTATAATGCGTACATGTTGATTCATCTAGCTATAGATCATTTTTACTACTCTGTACTACTTCATGGTATGAGTAACAATTTATCCATTTTAGTGTTGTTGGACCTTTTGGATTATTTCCAGCTTTTAACTATTACAACAATTTTACATGCTGTTTGGGACAACTGTGTAAGCTTCTGAGAATCTAGCTTTAATAGTAAAATTTCATAGATATTCATTTACCTTACAATTGCCAATAGTTTTTAGCTGATTTTCTTGGTTTTCCCAAATCTATACTTACACCCTTAACAGATAATCTTGCTTAATTGTATTGATGTACACTTTAACATTGGTGGTTTAAAACACTGAATTTCTCTTTGTTAGAAAAAAAAATTAGAGGGCTGGAGGTTTAGCTCAGCAGCATAAGCGCCTGCCTTGGAAGCAGGCAGTCGTGATTTCGCTCCTGGTACCGATAAAAAGGAAAAAGACAAAAAAAAAAAAAAAAAAAAAATTAGTGTTTGTGTGAATGGAAGGTTAAAAATAACAGTGAAACTGTAGTGATTATTTAGAAGTGGTTTTAATTTTTAATTCTATTTTAGTATTTATAAATTTATAAATTTATTGTTAGTAAGACAAATTAAACTCATTAGTATGCATTTCTTTGTTTGTTTGTTTGCTTTTTGAGACAGGGTCTCACTATATAGTTTTCAGGCTGCCCCTGAACTCAACTGTGTAACCCAGGCTGGCCTTGAACTCTTGGCAATCCTCCTGCCTCAGTCTTCCTGCAGTGCTGGGATTACAGGCTTGTGCAACCACACCCGGCTTTATTTTGTTTATTTTTAGCTAGTGTGTATTTCAAGGAAATTCATAAATCTTTGTTAAAATAACAAAGTAAAAATCAAATTGTTTTATTTTCAATTTTTTTGTGATATGAGATACTAGTGAGTTCACTTATTTTCCATACAGATACTAACTTTTCTTATTTATAACCCTGTAATTTGGGTTTCTGAGCATCCCACATTTTTTATTTATATATTATTTTGTATGTATAAAATGCATTTATTGTTAAAAGTTTTAAATTTTGTAAATATTTAAACTACTGCATATTAAAAAAGCACTAATTTTCTGATTCTTGAGTTCTTATTACTAATATTTTGTTAATAATTGTAAAATTGTAAAATTATACAAGGTGGTATATTTTGAATCTTTAAATGTTCTAGTACACCTTTTGTTTTGCATTAACATTTTGATGGTTTATGGGAATCTTAATTTTTTAATCATTTTTATTTTTTTGTCTTTTTTAGACGGTCTCTCTATGCAGTTCAGGCTGGCCTTGAGTTCACTTTGTAGCCTAGGCTGGTCTCAAATTTGCAACAATCCTCCTGCCTCAGCCTTCTGAGTACTGGGATTAGAGAGCATGAGCTACCACGCCCAGCCATTTTGATTTTTATATGAATTTGAGATATTTATGAAGAATCCCTACCATAAATAT